TTTTATACAATTGAAAACCCATTTACTATGTACAATTTTGAAGTGACGTCATCGCATTAGTGGTGGGGATGATTAGACAAATTTTGGTTAGCGTTTTACCATCTACATGATATTCTTAATATAAGTACAAAATTTCACAACAATCGGTCGAGTACTTTCGGAGATTATCTGTCTAATAAAAATCCGGGACAACAGACGGACAGACGGACGGACAGACGGACGGACAGACGGACGGACAGACGGACGGACAGACGGACGGACAGACGGACGGACAGACGGACGGACAGACGGACGGACAGACAGACGGAAATGGGAGACCTATTTCTTCGTCTTCTAGGGGTCATGAAAGATCGAGAAAACGTAAAAGTAGAGAGTCGGCCGACGGACTCGATTACAATACTTCCTTTGCTTACGCTCGGGAAGTAAAAAAATGGAGAAAATTAATAATAAACGAAATAAATATTATATGAACATGAAATAAAACAAAATCCAAATAACTACAAATTAAAACAAAAATCTGTCCAAAATTATCACTTTAAATAAAGACTTATAGAAATCCTAATGATGTAGTATGGCGATAAGCTTCGACGCCACGAAGAAGTGTGTGCTTTGTTCAACGAAGTACATTTTGAACGACCTCCAATCGCTAGAAGCACAGTTAGTAGAATTGTTGCAAAATTTAATCAAACAGCAAACGTAAGAGATGTTCCAAGATGTGGAAGATCACAAATAAACGATAACACCAAGTTGAATCTCTTGTTATCATTGGAAGACAATCCCCATGTAACAACGACGGAAATGGCTTTACAAGAAAATGTTAGCCAGTCGTTTGTGGTAAAGTTTTTTTAAAAAAAGAAACTGTATTCATATTAAGTTCAACTCATCCATGAACTATCAGAAGATGATCCTGACAGACGATGGAATTTTGTGAACGCTTCATGAGACACTTTGACGACAATCCCATTTTTTTAAATAGTGTCGTATTTCTGGATGAAGCAACATTTTACTCAAATGGTACCGTAAATCGATGCAATTGTTATTACTGGGCTCGAGAACAACCTCATTGGGTTCAACTGGCACACACCCAACGTCCCCAAAAAATTAATGATTGGATGGGAATAATAAACACAATATTCATTGGCCCCTACTTTTTTCACGGAAATTTAACAGCAAATACATATTTAGATCATCTTAGAACCGCAGTGTTTCCGGATCTAATTGCTACGTTTCCTGATCCAGATAATCCACAAAATTTAGATCGCAGGATTTGGTTCCAACAGGATGGGGCACCACCACATTAGGTATGGCGTAAATGTAAGTGTTTTTTGGAAAATCAATTTGATGGAAGGTGAATTCGAAGGCGTGGACCAATAGAATGGCCACCTAGGTCTTCAGATCTGACACGCCTTGATTTTTTGTATGGGGACATTTAAAAAGTCGTGTTTGCATGAACAGATTCGATAATTTAATAATTCGCCATCAAATGATTCGTATAAGTCTTCAGAGTATTGAAAATTCCGTGAATCAGGTCCACCATCGTATGGGTTTGTGTCAGATAGTAAATGGGAAACAGTTTGAACAATTTCTAATGCACAAATTTTTACTCCAACGTTTTGTTCCGTTTAATATTTATCATTAAAATCATGTTTATTTTGTTTGATATTAATTTTCTCATTTTTTACTTCCCGAGCGTAAGCAAAGGAAGTATTGTAATCGAGTCCGTCGGCCGACTCTCTACTTTTACGTTTTCTCGATCTTTCATGACCCCTAGAAGACGAAGAAATAGGTCTCCCATTTCCGTCTGTCTGTCCGTCTGTCCGTCTGTCTGTCCGTCTGTCCGTCTGTCCGTCCGTCTGTCTGTCCATCTGCCGTCCCGGATTTTTATTAGACAGATAATCTCCGAAAGTACTCGACCGATTGTTGTGAAATTTTGTACTTATATTAAGAATATCATGTAGATGGTAAAACGCTAACCAAAATTTGTCTAATCATCCCCACCACTAATGCGATGACGTCACTTCAAAATTGTACATAGTAAATGGGTTTTCAATTGTATAAAATAACATAGTCCTACACATGTAGTTTACAACTCTGAATCGACTTTTCACCCGAAACGTCCAGATTTTTGAAAAAAAAATCAAAATTATAAAACAACATTTTGAAATTTAATTTTTAATCTGCTAACCAGAATGCTTTAAAATGTTGCAGATGTTTTAAGGCTATAAAGAGCATCATAAATCTTTAGTCAAAAAATATTTGCTTATCCCCTCCAAAAACTTGATGACGTCAGCTCAAAAGTTTGTGGAATAAATCATATCTAAAATGTACAAAATATGATGAGTCTGTACTTGTGATCTATCACTCCATTCATATTTTTTGGATTTGCATATACAGGGTGACTCAAAAAAATTAATGAATGCGTAAATATATTTTATTGATTTAATCAGGAACTACAAAACCGAATGCTCTGAGATCTTGCAGATGTTTTAAAGTTATAAAGAGCATAATAAATGTTTAGTCAAAATATATTTGCTTATCCCCTCCAAAAACTTGATGACGTCAGCTCGAAAATTTGCCGAATAAATCATATCTAAAATGTACAAAATATGATCAGTCTGTACTTGTGATCTATCACTCCATTCATATTTTTTGGATTTGCATATACAGGGTGATTCAAGAAAATAAATGAAAGCGTAAATTTATTTTACTGATTTACTCAGGAACTACAAAACCGAATGCTTCGAAATCTTGAAGATATTTTAAAATTATCATAAGCATGGTAAATTTTTGATCAAAATGTGTTTGGTCGTCCCCCCTAAAAAATTTATGACGTCACCACAAAATTTTGCTGAATAAATCCTATCTAAAATGTACAAAATATGGTGAGTCTCTTCTTGTGATTTATCATTCCATTCAATTTTTTTCGATTTGCATATACAGGGTGACTCAAAAAAATTTATGAATGCGTAAATTTATTTTATTGATTTAATCAGGAACTACAAAACCGAATGCTTTGAAATCTTGCAGATGTTTTAAGGTTATAAAGAGCATAATAAATTTTTAGTCAAAATATATTTGGTTATCTTCTACAAAAAACTGATGACGTCAGCTCAAAAGTTTGCCGAATAAATCGTATCTAAAATGTACAAAATATGATGAGTCTGTACTTGTGATTTATCATTCCATTCATATTTTTGGATTTGCATATGCAGGGTGACTCAAAAAAATTAATGAAGGCGTGAATTTATTTTATCGATTTAATCAGGAATTACAAAACCGAATGCTTTGAAATCTTGGGAATATTTTAAAGTTATTATAAGCATGGTAAACTTTTGTTCAAAATGTATTTGTTCATCCCTCCTAAAAAAATTGATGACGTCACCCTTAAATTTTGCTGAATAAATCCTATCTAAAATGCAAAAAATATGATGAGTTTGTACTTGTGATTTATCATTCCATTCATATTTTTTAGATTTTCTTAAGAGGTGGTTCAAAAAAATTAATGAAGTCAATTTATTTTATTGATTAAATTAAAGGCAACACTCATTATTAGTATTACACCCCAACCAACCCAATTTGGTAGACACAAAATTTGTTAAAGGAAAAACTCGGTTGAAACATAAGGGTAGCACGCTTATTTACATCGACTTTAACATTACAGACCTGCATTTGTTTTATGCGTTCACTTGGTTCCGCGAATGTGGAATAGACATGTTTATAATCAACCAATTGTGAATTTCACCGTCAAGAATTAAAATAAAACCCAATGTTTTATATAATAAGCGGAAGTCGAAGCAATAAAACCGATGGTCGTTTTGTTTACAGTTTCTCTGTTTGACTCTCACGTATGCTGTTACGCTTGTCATCTGAAATTAAGAATGTTTATACATAAACGATTTTCAGTTGCCTTTCATATTACCAGACAGCGGATTTTTGTCGGGCTACGTCACGTTTAATCGGTACTAATTCCATAAATATAATTAACGATTTATTAATCAAACGACTAAGTAAATGAGAACGGGAATTAACAGCAGAGTGCAACGAAACAGCGTTATTCTAATCTCAAATAAACGAAGTGCAGTCCGCAACCGCAATGAATTCGCATCCCGCACGAGCCGTACCGAGTTTGGCCTTGCCTAGCCCGACAGAAATCCGCTCTCTAGATATTACACACCGGCGCCGTATACCTGAGTAAATTGTTTCGTTATTTTATTGATTATAAGAAATCAATATTCAAAACGACCCAATTCATTTTCCCGAAAATTTGGGAATACAATAATTTTATTCTTAGTATTACACTACATCTATCCCAACTGATATACGTGTCCTTGCAAAAATGTTGATGACGTCATCACATTTTTTTTTTAAATTCCCACTACAAAAATGTAATGAGAAAAAAAAACACAATAGGCATGCAGTCGTCAAGTTTCCGACAGCGAGGGAAGTACTGTCTAAACTCTTTAGACCAATTTTTTTGTTATGCAACCCCTACATCAAATTACATTTTCGTATGCAGACAAATAAGTCTTATCAAATAATGCAATCAAAATTATAGCGTCATAACTTTTACAAATTTCCCGTACAATTTTTTTGGCATGCCAAAATATGGAGAGTAAAATGAAAAACTTGACATTGCTTTTTTTTAAAAAACAAATGCTGAGCTTTTTATGAATTTTGTGCATTACTTTATCATAGCCCTGTATTTTGCTTTTGTATGCAGTAAAATGGGATACATGGTCTCTTTATTACAATAATAATTATAGGTCCCAGTTGGAGAGAGTGCAGAGGCGATTTTTAAAATTTGTTATATTCTGTTTACCGAACGGATGGAGTTGTAAAAGTGCGTGATCTTTGTCTTGTGTCTTTTTGCACTTTCATCGAAATGTAATTCTGTGATACCCTTGACACTTGTTGTACAGAATGTACCACAAAAAAATTAATAAACAATTTTTGACTCACAAAACCTTCCATTCGTTTCTATGTCATATTTCATTTTATAGGCATTCTCGTGTGCGAGGGTGGCTGTGTGTTGGAATATTTAGACGAACAATTAGCTAACCATGGATTAATGATGCCCCTGGATCTCGGAGCGAAGGGTTCGTGTCAGATAGGCGGAAACGTTTCCACCAACGCTGGGGGCCTTAGGCTACTTAGATATGGTAATTTACAGGGGAATGTGTTGGGAATCGAAGCGGTAAACAGCAATCTCGATTACTATTCAATTTCACGATCCTATATTTTAGGTGAAAGCTAATGGGGAGATTCTCGATTGCCTCAGCGCGCTCAAAAAAGACAACACAGGCTTTCATCTCAAACACCTTTTCATTGGATCTGAAGGGGCTTTAGGTGTAGTGACTAAGGTTGCGATCCAGTGCCCCGCAAAGCCACAGGCGGTTAATTTAGCGTTTCTGGGAGTGAAATCGTTTGATAATATTCTGACAACGTTTAGAAGAGCGAAGCGAGAATTGGGGGAAATATTGTCGTCGTTTGAAATGATTGATGAGCAGTCAATTGGTGCCGTTATGGGGCATTTGAAAGTGAAATCGCCAATTGACAACCACCCTTTCTATGTTTTATTTGAGACTCAAGGCAGCGACGACGCTCACGATCAAGAAAAAATTCATCGTTTCTTGGAGAACATCATGGGAGATGGCACAGTGCTTGACGGGACGGTTACTAATGAACCGAGTAAAATGAGAGCCATCTGGGACCTTCGTGAAAGAATCGCTGAGGCTTTCCTACACGATGGTTATGTTTTTAAGTATGACATTACTTTACCTCTCGAAAAATTTTATTCTATTGTTGACGTGATGCGGGAGAGACTGGGGTCGGACGTTCTTAGGTGCTGCGGTTATGGACACATAGGTAAATTAAATGACGCTTTGAAGTAAGTTTATGATTTTTGTTGTTTTCAGGAGATGGAAATATCCACTTTACTGTTACCACGAAGGAATTTTCAAAAGATATCCTTAAGCGTATCGAACCGTTTGTGTATGAATTCACGTCGGAGTTGAAAGGAAGTATTAGTGCAGAACATGGAATAGGTTTCAGGAAGCCCCAATATATTCATTATTCAAAAAGCGATGCAGCTATACACCTTATGAAGGAGCTTAAAAAATTGATGGATCCTAAAGGAATTTTGAATCCTTACAAAGTTTTGCCTTAAATGTCACGAATTAATGTAAATATTAAAAATATTTTGAGTTACCTCTATCACTTTTTTAAAATTATATCAATATAACCTTCTAAAGATACATTCCGGATACTGAAGGATAGGTCACCAAGAGAACATTGTTTTTATAACTGCCAGGGTTTGTATAGACTCTCATCGGCAGTGAGTGAATAGAACACGACTTGCCTGTTTAATCATATTAAATCCTGTTTAATGACATTTAAAATCAACAGTCGCTTTCGAATTATCACAGTCAATCAAACATTATCGTAGAACTGCGGCGACTGTAAATTGCGGCGGACGAAGAATATATTTTAATCCCTTCATGTAAACTGTGACGTATCTTTCGCAGGACTCGAGAAAAGTCTATGTAAAGTGTAAACTGCGGCGGGATGCAGTTACCCAATTACTGGACTCGATGCGTTAAATACCATTGTGTTTAAAGATTTACACAAGATTCGTATTAATAATATTGGGTTAATAAGAGATGTTGGGCTTGCTGCAAATATAAATGTTTTTAATTTGGTAAATATCTCTATTTTTCAGAAGAAGCATCATACATTCGAAAAATTTAACATTTGGTCTTGATCGTGATTGTCAAAAAATGGAACCGCATTTACGTTGTGTCTGTTTTTTTTTATTTGGCGGAATGAGTTTAAAAATGCAGAATGGTGAATACCAGGACCGTTAAGGCGCCTTTAAATCAAAATACAACGAAAAACTGTTGAAATAAGCTACAAGGAACTTATTTTCCAGTTACAAAACCCTTCCAACTTTCAAAAATTAAATCAAATGTCACAATTCGCTGCAAATATTCGAGTATTATGAATTTAAACACAGGAAAAAAAGAGAAATCTTAAGGAATATGCAAGTTATTAAATGCAAATTATCAGAGTCAAGAAATCAACAAATGTGCCACAGAGGACGTTATAATGAGAAGAAAACCTGCAGCATATTGTGCGCTCTACCATGTCTTTGCAAAACAGCCAACTTAAAATTAACCAAACTACGTGTTTGACGTGAACACAGGTCTCCTCATGGAGTTTAACATCTGTTTGGACAAATATAAAAAATCGTCGGCTTTGACTCCAAATCGTGTATTCCGCTTTCATCACGAAACCTTGGGCTTTTAAATTCAATAAAATTCAAATCCTATATTTTTCTAACTTAAACGATAACTGAATGAATACCAAAATTACCACCAAGGAAGCAGCAAGCAACACTTGATTACACCACACACTATCAAGAATTTCAAGCTACAAAAAATGTGCGTTATAATTACGCAAAACTAATGTTAAAGTTAATGATTAAATCAAAATTAGTTCATCAAGGTTACATCATTGAGTCAACAAATTCACATACACATGAAATAAACCCAACAAAGCACATATTAAATACATACGGTTAAAACCAAAATAATAATTTGAGAATAAATGTTCAAATTCAAGCTGTGAAATACCCTTGTTATTTCAAATCCGCGATGATCGTAATTTAACTAACGCGAAATTTAAATTTTAAATTCAGGACACTACGTTTTCTTTACAAATTGACAAATCCAAGGTATTAGTGTAAAATGTCAAACTTAATGGCCTCGTTACGCAAATAAGCACTAGTTTTTAAGCCCTGCCGTAAATCGATGGGTGTTATAATTTTGAAGAGATAGATCCTAAACAGATGAAGCGATTTCAGTGCGGTTTTTATTTGATAGCTGGTTAACTGGGATGGTTCTTAGCTATGTTTGATGAAAATCACGTAACAATTGCAAGATCATCCGCTCATCACACAATAAATTGGTGTAGAAATCAGCTCAGTGCTCGCGAGGTGAGGAGAGTGCGTCGACCGTCACAGCGAATCCTAACCAATTTCAGATTTTTAATGGCTCATTTTTTTTTGTGTTAGAGTTTTTTAAACATTAATACTTGTTTAATAGACCGATGAACTTCGAAACTACTGGACTGAAAGTTCTAAAATTTTAGGTGTACGGGGTGTACCTACCTATTTTAAGAATTTTTCTGGTCGTTCGCAACAAAAATTTGAGGACGTCATCTCATTCATTTTTTATATTAAAAAATAATGTGCAATTAAATTTTACAATCTGAAATTTTGAAATCTATCCATATTTTTAATATTACATATTAGGCTTATCGCAAAAAAGTAAAATTTGTTAAAGCAAATTTTATAGTTTTTCTCATTAGAATCCATGAAAGATTTTTTTTTTTTAATTCTAGTAAGACACTTACAATGATTTAGTGCTTACAGAACATTGATTAAAATTTAATTTTTCATCCCCTCTAGAAAGTTAATAACGTCATGGTAAAAATGTTTTAAATCAATATTGCTAAAAAGTGTTCCACTACGAGTCGCAAGATTGTTAATATATTTTAATTCTTTAGAATTACTTATACAGGATGATTCAGAAATGGCGCACTAATTCAATGACACGTTGTTAGGTTCAAAGCTTAATTTTTCTCTTAAATATAAATTTTAATTCAATAGGTACTTCGTGGGGGGTACACGGAATTGATCGGACTTTCATTATTCAAAATAATTTTAGAAGTAGCATGTCTTGTATCAATAGTTTTCTTCATTTTGTAATATACAAACAACATAAACATTGTTCAAAATGAATCTCATAACAGTGGCTAATTTTTCACTTTTTTTAATATCTCTAAATCGATATTTTGTTTTTGTAAGTAAGTAAGTCAGTAAGTCAAATTGACTAAGGAATTTTGTAATAATTCAGTCTGTATAGGGTGTATAAAAAACTACACTGACTAGCAAAAAACCGGCACCCTCAAGTATTTCGCAAAACCACTTTTAAATTATTGATTTAGTGATTGCTATTTTATTAAATAACCATTTACTACTGACATAGTTTGTATATACATAAAAAAGAGACAAATAAGTAAATACAGAATTAAATTTAATTTAAGAAAGTAACATAAACTGTATAATATTTTAGGTTGGCGTTTTTTTTTTTGACGGTCAGTGTATAAATGCATTTATTTTGTTGATTGAATTACATATTTTAATTTTGTAACAATTGTGAGAACAAATACAATTTTTTGGTTTAACGTACAAGCTTGAAGAAAGAAAGTTTACAACTTATTGAAGAAATTGGGTTGCGAAAATTTTCCACGCGTTTCACCAACCCCGTTGGTATTAGGTACCTCGTAGTTAATAGTTTTTGTAATTTTGTATTTTCTTTGACTCTGATTAAGCGATTACTGCAAAAACTACTCAATTATTTGTAGTTTACTCACAATGAGGATAGAAAATCTTTAGATCTGATGTTTACTGCTCTGCAAAAAGCCCATCTTTGCATCCGTCATTGCTTAGTTACGTACCCTTGTTAAATTTATCTCGACATAAAGATAACGGATTAAATAATAATTCAATGTTGATTCGCATTAAGCTTTCACTGAAGTTTGTTTTAATCTTAAAAATTAACCTATTTATGATTACAGTTCAGCTACTTTAAGGTGAAAAATCATTATTTTGCAACAAAGTTAACATGATTATTTTTAAAATCACTGTTTGTTACACATACATGTTATTGTACAAGAGTTTTTGAACTGCAAGGTAATTTTCCACGATTTTTTTAAACCAGGCCAGGCATGAAAAATTGCTCTAACAAAAATCCGTTTTAGAGATAAAATTAAATGAAAATTTAACCAAAATGTTGTGCGCTACTGAGTTTAATAATAATAATAATAATAGATAATCAAACACCATAGCAATATAACTAATTTTAAAAAGGTAAGATTGAAAAATACTTGTTACTTAGGGGTAATGACAATACAATCATTTGGTTATACCTACATGTCGTCACTCTTTAGTTGTTAGCATTTTTGGATTGAAGGGGGTTTAAATTTCCCTTAAAGATTGGCCTAAGACAACAACAGAGTTTATTTACCTTCTTAAAATACCTAAATTCACCATATGTTTTCTTTCCGTCCAACTCAAAAACATGCTGTATATTCTTACTAAGTGTTAAATTTATGTGAATAGATTATTTACTGTGTTTCTAGCAGATAACAGTGGTGACGCATTTATTCACGTTAAATTGAACCTTATTTCTAGTGACTAAACAACTATGTTTTTGTGATCACGTCTTATGTGTTGTTAACATGTTTTGAAAATCGTTCTACTAATTAGAGAGCAATAAAAACACGATTCAAGACATTCATGGATTTTTGAAAGTTTGTCTCTGATCGTTGCATTTTTATTCAAATTTCAAATTAATAGTAATCTGGTAAGACAAAATCCTTATCACAGACAAACTTTCAAAAATACATGGCTGTTTTGGACCGCGTTTTTATTGCTTTCTCGGTATAATTTACATACTTATTCGATATAATCGATTCATTACGAAACACATAAAACGTTAATTTGTTGTGTACGCACACAGCTTAGAGTGCTAAAAGACCGAGAAAAGTGAAAAAGCATGTAAGTATACAATGTAGATTCATTAAGTAAATAATGTAGATCGACCTATTCCCATAGATCATAATTAACTGTTACCAACTGCAATAAAAATGTTTTAAATACACTGACCGCAAAAAAAACCGGTCATCCTGAAATATTGCACTGTTTGTTATTTTTTAAATTAAATTTAATTCTGTATTTATTTGCCTGTTTTTTTTTTGATAATTTATCCATCCTATGTCAGCAGTGAACGGTTCTTTAAAAAAAATAAGAATCACTAGTTAAATTAATAATTTTTAAATTGGTTTTGCAAAATAATAGGATGGCCTTTTTTTTTTCTAGTCAGTACAGATACGTAACTAAACGAATACATTATTTTTACCACATAGTTTGTCTTGACCTCGAAATCGTTAAGCATATAATTACCATTGAAGTACAATTTTTTGGGTTTTAATACTTTTAAGTAAAATAATTAACATCTGAAATCAGTTAGTCTTCATTTTGGCAAGAGTTGTATATTGCAAAACCTAAATTAAATAAAAAAAATTCGTCATGAAAAATAATTTAATTCGGGTACAAAAATACAATTAATTGGCGAGTATACCCAGCATGTTTACATTTTTACAAACACAACTTTAACATCAACCTCAAAACTCTCATTATCAACTAAAATCGTCACTTTAAAAACAGTCTTATCATTGCATTTTTTCACATAAGTAAGTTCAATAATTTGAGTTTCATCTGAATAAATAGTGCCACTCTTGGGCTTTAAGTACAAACTCTCTGGTGTTGAAGCAACTTCAAAATAAAGCGTCTTTTTAGAATTATTAGTTAAGAAAATTCTGTCTTTGATTTTATCTGGTGGTGTTAGAATAATTCTCATAGGTTCTACCTGGCACGTCTCTCCACACATAGTGTTGTTTGCGTTGACAGCAGTATTTTCACATAGACTATAAAACATAGCTGTTTCATCTTGTAGTTGCCCAAGTAGTGTTTGGTCTACATCTTGTTCCAAGGTTACAGTTATTTCCTCTTTGTTGAGCAATTTTAGAACCTCTTCCATGCAAGATAAAGATTCTTTGAAGTATTTTAGATCATTTGGAATTACTTCTCCTGGGAATTTCATAACCAAATCTGATATATAAGGGTTAAAATCTTGATTTTTCTCCTTCGCCCTTTGCCATAATTTTCTAAGCCGCGCTCTATCAACTTCTGTTCCATGAATTACTTGAAGCTTTCCAATATCAATAACACAACTGTTACCTATTTTAGACTTAATGTAAGTGAAGTCCTTCTTTTGAAGATTGTATTTGACAACTACTTCCCGCTCTTCGCCAGGTAATAACACAGCCATTAGTGGATAAATCTCAATATTTGAAAACGCGTACAAACCATTTAAAATAAGATCAAAGTAAGTAAATGCCGCTAGAGATCCATGATTCTTGATCACAAAATTTTGTTTCAGTTCTTGCAGTTCATCAACGTTACCTAAAGACAATAAAAATTTTCCAGTAGTATCTTTAATTATTCCGTGAATGGTAACGTTGCCATAGCCTCCACAGCCATACAATTTTACAAACTGTTTAACTGACTGTTTATGACTGGGATCTATTGAAGAAAAGTGAAGACTATCAACTGCAGCTCCCAATGTAGTAGGAGCGAAAGTCACGGTAAGACTTCTGGATTCATAGGGGTGTAAAACTACCTTAATCGTGTTTAAAAAACTTAATTCCGTCCCTTCCTTGTTCAGTCGAAATGAGGGATTTGAGACTGAACACTGGATTCCAAGTCGACTGGATGAATTATTTCTGACAATAAATTCCTGTGAGCTACTTTTACCTACTTTAACGCAACCCCAAATAAGTTCAGTCTTTGTTGTACCAATAGGCAATTTTCCATTGGGTAAATTACTTAAGGCACTGGAGCTTCTTGTTGAAAGTACAGACTTCTCTTGATTAAAGTCTGGACAAATATTTTCTTTAACTGCTTCATCAGTAATATCCTTACCACATTTATCCAAATTGTTTGGTAGTGACGTTTGGATTGGACATTTTGGCAATGAAAATTCCTTTTGAGGACTTTTTGGTAGTGATTTTCTCAGTGGACTTTTTGTTTTTGTTGGTCTCTTAGGTTTCAGTAACTTATTTAGCGCGTTAGTTGGTGACTCATCTGATGACAAAATGTTTTGTATTTGACTAACACGCACACTGTCATCACCAGGAATGTTTTGTATCTCGCTGATGCGTACACTGTCATCAGAAAGACAAAAACCCTGATCGCATACTGAAGTTTCAATTAACGGAATAGGCGCTTGGAGCTTTTGTGGACTTTTAGCAAATAGTTCTGGAATATTGTCAGACTTCTTTATGAAGAAAGAACCCACAGACACCTTCATGTCATCATTGTAAGTCAAAGAAAATTCCTTTGGTATTCCAGGGATGTGTTTCTCTTTTTTCCATGATTTCTCATCCTCTTCGAATATAGCTATTGCGTCTGCGCCTGATTGAAAAATTCCCTCTGTAGTATTCATCTCTTTGTAAATACTTTCCATTACTTTAAGAGTATCAGCCTCACCACTTCGCAACTTTTGCGCGTAACTATTGAGCTGTTGCGACAGACGATTATTACTCGAAGAAAGTTGACATTCTCTCATTACAAACTCGTCTTTCATTAATGATCCTCTAGGTGTAGAACAATTACCAGGAAGTAAATCAGTTTCACTAATGGTACTTTCAGAACGAACAAAACCTCCATAGCTACCTTCAGAAACATCAGATTTCCTCAAAAATCGGGATGGTAGAGAAGTAAGCTGGCCGTGTTTCAAGTCAAAGCTTTGCATGGACTTTCTAGCTTTCTCACATTCACTTTCTCTTTGCTTGGCGACATCTAAGAGTGCAGAAGGCAGTAAACTTGTATCACTGCTTTTTATCGAAAGAATTCCAAGAGATTCCTCGCCTCCGCTGAATCTTTGAGGCATGTCGTTTAAAAAACTCATGTCGATTTTTTTCTTCCTTTCTGCAGCCATGCTTGAAGAATGAATGGGATTTGGTGTTGATAAAATCGTTTTTTCATTAAAATTTAACTCCCTTGACATATTAACCTAAACAGACGCAGCAATTAATTTTAGTTTGAAGTTATTCTTTTATCTTACCCCTCAGAAATGTTGTCGGCCTTTCGTAAAACTGTTATAACACCAATACAAACAAAAACTGTGCACACATTGATTTTTAAAATTGACATAAAACGACCAGTGCATAAATTACCCTAGATTTGAATTTTATCAAACGAAAAGTAACTAGTATCACATGGCGGGATATTTAAATTTAAATCATTCATTAATCCTTAGAAGAACTACTATGCACAAACTTTAAGTATTCGACTCCTGTATCGGAAATACAATAAAATAAAGTTAGCATATGTTTTGTTATTAAACTTTTAACTGATATTTCTTTATTGTACCATAAATTTGGAGTCATCATTTCGTTATAAATTATTAAGCTGAAAAACTTTAGTTAACACCTAATGTTATTATTTTTATACCTTGAAGATGACCTTTTGTTAATTATAAAACTGCTGCAAATTAGCTTTTCGCTGCATTTCTAAAAACCAGTACGTAATGGAACATTTTATCGTGATACTCATGTTTACAGTGTCTTTTCAAAAACAAATAATTAACTAATCTTCTGCACAATTGTAGCTTATCAAATTTCACTGTTATCACTATGAAAAGGTTACAAGTTGAACATTGTAAGGTTTTAACAGAAGTGTGGTGGTTAATAGTGGAAAACTGAAAAACGTCATGATTAAAAACGTGTGGAAGCTGCCACTACGGATTAGTAATTCAACCAAAAATAATGGATTCCCTGTCACGAAGTACTGGATTCATTCACAACCGAATTTTACAAAGGTAAATAAAATGTATTTTTAGTACTGACGATTCTAAACAATTTTACAAACTTCTTGTAGAACAATTTCAACATAAAACGAGGAAATTTCAGTCATGTTGAAGAAGAACACCTCTATTTTTTTCGAAAACTGTTAGGAGAATCTCGCATTATTACTGATTTGTCTGACCTTGAAAAATATAATGTAGACTGGAATAAACATTTAAGAGGTATTAAAAAAATACGAAGCAGAAAAAATCAGAAAACTGACATTTATTTTTCAGGTGCTAGCACAATCGTTTTAAAGCCAAAAACCACTGAAGAAGTGTCAAAAATTTTATCCTACTGTAACAACAACCGATTAGCAGTATGTCCCCAGGGTGGAAACACGGGGGTTGTTGGTGGAGCAACGCCAGTATTTGACGAAATTATTGTTTCGACCGAACTAATGAACAAAGTAATCAACCTGGACGAGAAATCAGGTGAAACAATACCTAATGTAACGATAATTACATGTTCCGAAATATTCTAGGTGTTTTGACGTGCGAAGCTGGTTGCATTCTACAAAACATGGATGAATTTCTGCAACAAAAAAATTTAATTTTCCCTCTAGATTTGGGGGCTAAAGGCTCGTGCCACATTGGAGGTAACGTTTCGACAAACGCGGGTGGTCTAAGACTGCTAAAGTATGGGAATTTACACGGAAATGTCTTGGGTCTTGAAGTGGTACAAGCCAACGGAACAGTTTTGGATTTACTAAGCACATTGAAAAAAGACAATACTGGATATCATTTAAAACATTTATTCATCGGGTCTGAGGGTACTCTTGGCTTGGTCACAAAGGTGGCAATTCAGTGCAGGTTACGCCCAAAATCAACACATGTGGCGTTTCTGGGTTTACAAAATTTCAACCAAGTACTTAAAACGTTTTACAAAGCGAAACAAGATATGGATGAAATTCTTACAGCTTTTGAGGTAATTGACACTCCTTCAATGGAATTAGCAAATGAGAAACTAGGACTGGGGTCTCCTATTGGCGATTATCCGTTTTACGTTTTAATTGAAACAACGGGTAGCAACGAGAAACACGATGAAGAAAAACTGGACGGATTTTTGCAGACTTGTTTGAATAAAAATTTTATACTAAATGGAACTGTGACCGGCGAAGTCAGTAAATACAAGGTATGACTATTACTATACAAAACAACACACTGTATAATCAATAAATTTAGGCAATTTGGGACGTTAGAGAGAAACTTCCTCAAGGTTACATAAAAGATGGTTTTGTTTTCATGTATGATATGTCGTTTCCTTTAGAAAATTATTACAAGTTAGTGGAAGATTTAAGAGAACACATGGGCAGTTTATCACACAGGGTGTTTGGATTTGGCCATTTAGGTAAATATTCACAACTAATGATTTTGTACCAAGACAAAAACATTTTTAGGTGATGGCAACATACATATTCAGATTTCAGTAAAAGAGTTTAACCAAGATGTAGCTAACCATATAGAGCCTTACATTTTTGAACTGACCAAAAAGTATAACGGTAGTATCAGCGCAGAACACGGTATGGGTTTTCTCAAAGCTAAGTACTTGAATCTAATGAAATCTCAAGAATCCATAAACTTAATGAAAAATATTAAGCAAATGCTGGACCCTAATGGTATACTTAATCCTTATAAAGTTTTATTTTAACAATAAAATTTATTTTTTAACATGTAGTCAAATTCTGATCCAATCTCAACTAACTTACTTCAGTACGTCTTGCAATTTATCATTAATTGCGGCGATTACTTTATTCATTTTCAAATTGGAGTCAACAAAAATTGCTTGAGGGCTTACCATATTCTTGTATGCTAAGATGATGCTAAAATAATGACGAATAAGTTTGGTAAGACAAAACTCAACTTGTACATACTTATCCCTAAACTGTTGTGAGTTTCTCAACAAATTTTCTTGGAGAGTGATTTCAGTCCTTCTTGAAAGTCTTTGAATTCGATTATCCTCATTTACATCTAAAAATAAAACCAGATTGGGTTTTAATAAATCGTTTGGCCAGTGGTAAAAAGTGTCGCCTTCTGGTGGTATTTCTACTTCTCCAGGAAAATCATTCACTGCTTGTGCTATAGCATATGCAGAAGTTGAATGCCAGTATCTAAGAACGAGAAAATCAGTGACTTCTGAAAAAACCCAACAAACATAATACCTGTCCATAATTACTGGCTGTTTTTTCAACAATATGGAACACTCAAGGGCTGCGATATAATTTCCTAATGCATAATATGCAGTTCGTAACACTGCATGTTCATCAAATAGATGACGGATGTTTTTGATAGATTCAGGAGGTGTACACCATCTTTCTGCTTGTAACTTTGATGCTAATTTTTTAGAAACAGTCGACTTGCCTGTAAAATTAATTTACTTTCTGTGTCTGTAAGTACAGTGATTTAGAACTTACCACAACCGTCCAAACCTTCAAGTACTACCAGTGGGTGTCTATTGGTTACCGGATTCTGTTTTTCATCTTCCATAAATGCATTCAATGCATTATTATAGACTTCTATCAGTGTATTAACTGCTTCTATATTATCAGCCTTAAAATAAAGATAAGGTGGAAACAATTCGTGAAAAAACGCAGCACTTACTTTATGAGCGTTTAATGCATTTAACACTGATTCAGCACTTCGATAGATTGTAGGTGATGTCATGGCTAATAAATTGGTAGAAAACATACAAACCTTATATTTTCGAAAATAAACAGGTTTAGGATTCCCAGACTTCACTGGATGTATTTCCCCTACTTTCAATAAAATGTCAAAACGACGACAACACTCGATACATCGATAAAACAGATATCTCGTTAAAGTTTCAAACATTTTTTTAGATTTTCGGATTCCCAGTGATAAGATATTTAATTTAAGCTTTCATAAGATATCGCCTGGAAAAACAAGGGTTGTTCAAAGTCAAAGCTCACTGAGATTAGGTTATGTCGGTATAATTTTGTGGCGGGAAATACAAAGTGTCAATTTAACAAACCACCATTTTATAATGTTATATTTACAAAAACGAAAAAATATTTACATCTTCTAATTAAGTAATAAATTATGGTCTAGGTTTCTTTGGTAAGGAACCAAACGCTGATATAACAGTCCCTTTCGTACCTGTGGCACTACTTGTTAATGATGGTTGGACGAGTCCTGCGGGTTTGATGCTCTGAGATCCTAAAGCGTTCCCTCCTGGTTGATCCCATTTACTTTTCCTTTTCTTGTTATCATCCTCTTGCTTTTTTGTCCCAGAGACCACTTCAACTTTCGACTTTCGTTCTTTTTCTCTTTTATCCATTTCTACTTTCTGCACTTTGGCCAACTCTTCATAGTACGACTCTTTATCCCATTTCAGAGGATCATAAATAGTGGGTGGATAGTTGGTACCTGCAAAACACACACTATTAGATACTCTATAAACACTAAAAAAAAAGAAAACATACCTAGTTCATTAATGGCACAGAACTGAATTAATTTTTCATAAATGCTTGGGTTCCTAAAGTCTTTCCTCTTCTGTATCAGCGCATTCATATCTAATTGTTGGTTTTGCATTTTTTCATACAATTTCCCGATTTTATCTTGCAAGTCTATTGAACAATGTCCTGGTGGTTCTGGAGGAATCTGGACGCCATCCTTGTCAAGTAAATCTGCTTCTTCTTCTTTTATGTCTTCGTTCTCCGTCAGCATAATAACTTCATGAGGGGGAACAGCTTCATCTGGCTCTCCTTCTTCATCTGAGGCAATGGTGTCATCATGGTAGGACACTAACTTGGCAACTTTTGTGGTGACTCGTATTGCGGCGGGGCTTCCAGGTCGGGATGAGTTTGTTGATTTGTTGTCAGATGGAGATCCTGAAGGAGTTGTTACTGAAACTCCTTGACTATCCAAGTTTTCATTTTTTATTTCCTCTTCTCCTTCGGAATCAGTGTAGGTGGCTGTTAGGGAAGCCAGAGCAGAACTTTGAGCCATTTTTGAAATTTAGGTTAGATCCTGGGATGCTGAATTTTGTCGTAACTTCAATATGAAGCCATAACGGTTTTTTAAATCGTAAATTTAACAGTGTTTAATTTAGTTTATAGTTTAATAGTCAATAACGGACGCACACAATACATCACAAACGAAAACATCCCTTTCTAACCTCACTCCTTAATTATTCATAAATGTCACGCAGTGTTGCCAAGTCCTGGCGTAATAAAAGCACTAAATACTGATTTAAAAGTGTTGTTCCCACCCAAGGTTAGTTAATAGAGAACAGGTTACCACATAAACGAGTATGTGGGCAAAATCGCTTACGGGGGAGGAGAGGTGTCAGCCCCATGTGACGTCAAAATGAGGTTGGTATTACTTGGGAATTTTTAGTAACTTGTAATTTTGAGTTGGTGTGACCGATCAGCTGATGCCTTTAATCTGTACGATCTGTACCGCTAATTCTGACGTTTGGTGTTAGTACTGCGACTCGTGTAACCCTATTTTGCCTTAAATTAAATTTATTTGTGTTTAAGCTAAAATGAAATGTTTTGATTATTACTAGAAAGGAAAAAGTAAATCAGTAAATGCAGATTTTCAGATTTTTTTGCATAAAAAAAATCAGTTAATAGTGTCGCATTTGTTATTTTCAAGTTCTACTGGCAGCAAAACATTTTTCTTGAGGTTTATTAAATTGTTCTTTACACAGGATTGAAATTTGCGAAGTAGAAGCGGTCACTTGATTAAAAGTTTCCGTTTTTAGTGCGTTACTCGAGTATTTAAAACGGGCAATTTTCGCGCCATTTGAGAGCCCCTTGTGACGTATCAATATGGCATCCCAATGTGGCAACCTTATCTATTAAATGACTTTGGTTCCCACCAGTATTAGGTTGGCGAAATTTTAGGTACTAAATTTGAATACAACTCAACAGCGTACACAACAATCACGTAAAACGTAATAATTGAGAATAAGTTCGATGCCCAACCACAGTAGATCAGTAACGAAACTTCAGCAATATTTGCGGAACGGGTGTGACCTTGGGAGCCCGTTCCCGGGAAACACGAAGATTCAAATATTTCGTAGCATTCGTATGTGATTCATATAATACTAATAATTGTACACAAAAATAAAAATGGTTGGCATGTACTACTGACATTGGTCATTTTTTTCTTTCCTATAAATTATTAACATATTCAAGCAAAACATTTTTTCATACCTCCGTCCACTATTGACGCTTTTGGAGTATTCAAAATCGTCCAGTAACACGCATTTTGGAGGTCTAGGCCGTCAAAAATGTCACTAAACGAAATTCCCTAGACATAATGTTGTCGGCATTGATTGTCACAAAATCCGAAAATCGCAAAAATAGTTCATTATTACTGCCAAACGAAGTAATTCTTATGAAATAAATAAAACGCTCTTTTTAGTTTTGGTGTTATAGTCCAGTCAAATTAGCGATCAACCTCGGAATGAGAGATAATAAGCTGAATTTTCGTATATACTTTCATTTTAGCGTTCTAAAAGTTGGCTCAAAAGTCTCATAAAATCTCGTGTCTGCGTCGTAAGTTATTCAAGGTCAAAGGTGAAGAAAAACAGTTTTTTGCGATTATCTCGGTTTCTATTGCTCCAATGATGTTAACGTTTATTATCGTAATTGTAGAGCATAAAATTTGGGACAAATTTTATTTGAAACATTTTTTCATGCGCTCAATCGTTTTTGAGATAGAGGGCAGTGAGCGCGCAGCGCTCATCCATACGTACTGTAATGCAATCAACCGTGAATATCTGTGAATACAACCTTTAATTTTGAATAATTTGTATTATTTATCAGTTAATACATTGCATTTAATAACATTTTACATATTTTCAATACATTCATTTAATGATAATGATACTTACCTACTTTGTGGAATTAAAAACTCTTTAAATGAAATACTTATTGTATGTATATCTTAATTTATTAAAAGTAGATTTTAAGTAGAAAAATAATTAAGTACATTATCTTTCAAATGTGTAAGTTTTTATATATTAGATAATATATTATACTTGTTATATAATTATATATCTAAAAGTTATATTAATTTTTTCAAAATAAAAATTTAAGGAAGTAAAACGAGTTAATGTATTTTAATTTTATCTTTGTTCAGTACCTGTACATTTCTTACGATTGAAATTGAATTGCAGTGAAAATCTAGAAATCTTTAATAATTTAAAGAACAAAAGTATTAATTTTTTCTTCTTTACCGTCATCTTCTGGACGTTCGGGAATTTCTGTTTCATCGTCATCATCTTCGGTGCCCTGAATCGTTGTTTCCTAACCTTCCAGTTATAATCATGATAGAAAAATAAGTATTTAAAACCTTACACATTTTAAAGATATAAATAAATTGAGATATACAATAAATATTTCATTAAATGCGTTTTTAATTACACAAAGTAGGTAAGTATTATTCAATGAATATGTTGAAAATATGTAAAATGTTTAAATACAATGTATTAATTGATAAATAATACAAATTTTTCAAAATTCAAGGTAGTATTCATAGATATTCACGGTTGATTGCATTACAGTACGTATGGATGAGCGCTGCGCGCTCACTGCCCTCTATCTCAAAAACGATTGAGCGCATGAAAAAATGTTTCAAATAAAATTTGTCCCAAATTTTGTGCTCTACAATTATGATAATAGATGTTAACATCACTGGAGGAATAGAAACCGAGATAATCGCAAAAAACTGTTTTTCTTCATCTTTGACCTTGAATAACTTACGACGCAGACACGAGATTTTATGAGACTTTTGACACAACTTTTAAAACGCTAAAATTAAGGTATATACAAAAATTCAGCTTATTATCTCTCATTCCGAGATTGATCCCTTTTTTATCCTAAAATGACTGGACTATTAGGGATTGTTATAATAATTACATCACCTTTATCTTTTACATCGTTTACTCTGTTTTTTGTTAATTCATCCCTGCGACAAGCTGCACTCACACCAATTGTTAACGCTGTCTGAAACCACATTCACTAAATAAAATATGAACAATTAAGTAATATAAGTACCTACTTTCATTAATAGATAATCCTCATCTGGAGCATGTGTTATAAATTTTTCCATGTCTTCAATTTTAAGATATTTAGATTTTCTTGGCACGTAATCATCCTTTTTTCTTTTTAAAAAAGCAATCAGTTTTGCATAACTTGCTATTCTGATATTGTGTTTAACATTAAGCGTTGTCTTCAGCATAGAAAATAAGGACCATAGTGAAGCACAATTATTTGTTTTTGACTTACCGTCAAAATATGCAAGGAAAACATATTCATTGTAAACGTTTTTCCTATTATTGTCTTTACACCACTTCTGGAACTCATCGTATGCTTTCCAGTAACGAGGACCAGATTTTTCAGGTAATAAGTTATCAATTACACTTTCAGCGGTTTCTTTTGTGTGAGCTGGAGTTTCCATTACTTATTACTAATAGTTTTCGAGGAAATGATATAAAGATGTCAAAATTATGAATCTTAAACGTCATGAATGCATTTTAAATTCGAAAATCTTGTCTGCATTGGATTAGTGGTACCAACCGAAAAAAAAAATAAATTCCTACAGCCTCTTTTGATGGAGTAATTTTTAAATATTTTGAGCAAATTTAATTTATGTCGGCATGAAAAATTTTGTGGATTACACGTCCAGAAAATGTTTTGCGAGTGCTCGTGTTGCTCCGCCTCGGCTAGCGCCTCGGCTTCGCAATATCCACTCACACTCGCAAAAAGTCATTTTCTGGACTTGTGATCCAAATAACTATTATTCAATTTTGACGTTTTAAACTGCGTTTATTAAAACCTTAACAAGTCTGACAAACAAGTTGTTATCCACAAGTGAATTGCAAAATTTTTAATTCACTCTTAATATTTTTAAATCACTCACAAAAAAATAAAAAACAACTTCAGGAACATAAACATTTTGCTTATTATTTTTAATAGTTTTCACAGAATACAATTTGTTTACAATTTTCACTAAAAGGTTGCTGCAACTAAATCAGTATTGTTTGACATATTTGTTTGGCTCTGTGAGGCGTCAATTTGGGAATTGTATAAATCCCACACCAATAGAATTCCAAAGAACGTTTCGGAAACTATTTACTACAGATTATTTCGATACAAGTGCAAGAACCAACTGTGAAACACTATTTTATTTGAAATGAAAAATTTGCTAAGGTGTTCTTTTAAATAAACTTCCACAACACATCTTCCCTGTATTCCGGTCTCTTCAAGAATCATTAAGTGATGTGAGTTACCGGAAACTCACCTTGAAAGAACACAACTGTTTATGGTATGTTTGTGGATATTCATTAATACGAAAATTCTTACACCACCACTTCTGCGAAGTTTGTGAGAACTTTGCACATTCTTACGAAGTGGTACATCCTGTTTTAATTCTGTGACATTTTAAAGTTTTCAATGAAGATGTGATTTTTGGCGATTTAATGATGCCACCTGAACATTTTGCAGTTTATACTCCGGTAGTGGGTAATACATTTTGTGAGTTTTTCCCAATTTATGCACTGTATTCGTTAACTGGTTTGCGGCTAAAAAACGAACCATACAAAAATACCATTCCACCACCCCTGCAAAGACTTTCCTCTTGATTACCTCGTCTCAGTTTTTATTAGAGTTAGAATTTTTTACACACTAAAATTTAAAAATAAATCTTGGACCGCTCAAACCCGCACACATCGAAAATTAAACTATTTCGTTTAACCTGCAGTTTGTTGACCTCTTTAGCCTGGAATTTTCTAGTATTTTTTACATGTATCGTAAGACTGTGTCGTAAGTATCTATTACTTTGTTACAATAAATTTTACGTTTGTTTTTAACCCCATAACCCAACATCCCGTATGATTCCGCAAGGTTAGTTAATAGAGAACAGGTTACCACATAAACGAGTATGTGGGCAAAATCGCTTACGGGGGAGGAGAGGTGTCAGCCCCATGTGACGTCAAAATGAGGTTGGTATTACTTGGGAATTTTTAGTAACTTGTAATTTTGAGTTGGTGTGACCGATCAGCTGATGCCTTTAATCTGTACGATCTGTACCGCTAATTCTGACGTTTGGTGTTAGTACTGCGACTCGTGTAACCCTATTTTGCCTTAAATTAAATTTATTTGTGTTTAAGCTAAAATGAAATGTTTTGATTATTACTAGAAAGGAAAAAGTAAATCAGTAAATGCAGATTTTCAGATTTTTTTGCATAAAAAAAATCAGTTAATAGTGTCGCATTTGTTATTTTCAAGTTCTACTGGCAGCAAAACATTTTTCTTGAGGTTTATTAAATTGTTCTTTACACAGGATTGAAATTTGCGAAGTAGAAGCGGTCACTTGATTAAAAGTTTCCGTTTTTAGTGCGTTACTCGAGTATTTAAAACGGGCAATTTTCGCGCCATTTGAGAGCCCCTTGTGACGTATCAATATGGCATCCCAATGTGGCAACCTTATCTATTAAATGACTTTGATGATTCCGTAAATAATATGACATTTCTTGTTGACAAAACCAGACAAAACGTTCACCGAAAACCTTAAAATGAAAAAGAAACTATGTTCTTCAAGGTCGGAGCACCTTTAGTGACGCCAGTGACCTCTTTATGTCGTTCCGTAAGCTCCCCATGTATTTCTTATGGAGTCAGCTGAGACTTTCATAGCCCTGGCCCAACTGTTGCTGTATTTAAAGGGGTTGTAGAAGAAAAGTGGGGTTGCGATAAAGGGGTGGGGTGCTGAGGAATGTAGAGGTGGGGCGATTAAATTTTTCATGTGGCATTACAGTATCAGATGTCGCTAAACGCCTCATTAAATGCGTGGACATTTTACAAAGACTTGACGCGGAAGTGTTTTTCGAAATTTCGTTGTAGTTTAAAAAAGCTCGTTTTGCATGAAGATATTATAGTATTTTGATGTGAAACATAAATAGGCTTGTAGCGAATTTTATTGCGCATTTAGCTGAATTTCTTCTTTGTCTTTAAAATTACAACTTTTTAAATCATAGCAAAAAAATGTGGGGAACACATTAGAAGATTTTATTAAAATCAGACAACCAAGTATATAGATTCGTGATGATTTATGAGTTTATGACATCTCAGCGGGTATATTCTAATCTAATGACGAAACTTTCGCGCAGTAATAAAATAAATATATTTGTTGTCTAATTAGGTATAGTCCTGGCAAATAGAAATAACCGACCTAACTTTTAAGATCGTAATAGGATTACCATAAAAGTATGAACTTCTGTTAAATAATGTTTATTATTATTACTCTTCTATTTATGAAGAAACATCTACACCGGAGCAAGATGAAGATGAATCAAGTCAAGCAGATAAGGCCAGAACAGGTAGACGAGGAAACAATAGAAGGAACGGGCGTAAGTCAGTTCGACAACGGCGACGGGTGGTCATAAAACCCACGGTGTTCCACCTGAGGGATTAAGTAGTTAACAGGATTAATTAAAAGGAAAAGATGTAAACAAACATGTTTATTACACCACGTGTTTCTTTTATTTGATACAACTACAACCCCTGTAACTTTTTTATTTTTAAAGATAAACATGTATGTAGTTCTTTGAGCAAATTTGTATCACTTTAAAAGACCACTTATGTGAATAAATGACATCAGTGTTAATTTTTCAAGTTATTAGATTGTTATCAATAAATACGAATTTTTCGTCTATTTTATTGAAATTTTTAAGTATTGATTTTAGAAACTTGGTTGCTTTAGAAAAAATCAATCTTTCCATTTATGAAACATATATCTAGTGTTCCATTCAAAAAAAAGTTGATGACATTGCCGATTCTACCGGAAGTGATAAAAATGTGAGGTTGCCACATAGAGATCTTTTAAAATGATACAAATTTGCTTCAAGAACTATAAGTTTATCTTTAAGAATAAAAAAGTTACAGGGGTTGTATCAAATAAAAGAAACACTCTGTATACATTTAAACAAAAGAAACGCAAGTTACAGGGTAGTTATATGAGAAACACTTTTTACAAACGTATAACGAGATATAACTTGTCCGACATATTCATTACATTTTTCTGTCATAAAATCAGTTTCGTGGTGAATTTTTTTTTGGATTTTTTATAATAATAAGGTATTTATTTAGCTAAAGCTACAATTTGTACATATGAGCTTAATACTATTTAAGTAACTATACTATACCTCCATAAAATGAACACAAGAAGGCAATAATAAGGCATGAATGTATCCTAAATATAAAGTAAATAAAGAAACAAAGAATTATATTGTAAATTATTACTAAAAATATTAATTAAATAAGTTAAACAAAATTAATAGCTATTAATTTCCTCAAAGGATTTGTTGTATAATAATTCCCTTACCTGACGCTTGAATTTTTTAAAGTTGGTTGGTTTTTTATACTCCCTGATGGTAACGTGTTATATAGTCTGATGCCCTTGTAAAACAATGAATTTATTGAAGACTGTTTGATTTTTGACGTTAGATACAAATTTCCTTTTTGTCTTGTATTATAACTATGTTTTGCCTTCATATTTTGAATTTTTTTGTTCAAATACTCAGGTCCCATATTATTAATTAATTTATGTACTAAAATTAAGGTCTGCAGCTTAATGATAATCAGATACATCCAACCGCTCCAAGATTCTCCTCATATCAGACATTCTTGTATACCTATCTACTGCATTGCAAGATAATTCGCATTCCTCTACTTATTTTGCATTTTCTGCAAGCTTTCCATGTCCGTTTGGCATAGGAGATACAAAATGGTCGGAGAATACATAAAATGTGGTAATACAATTGTTTTATATATTGTTAAGGCACTAAACATCGACAGTTCATTCCTGATTCGTCTTAAAAAACCCAATTTTTTTGATAATATAATCTTTTAATAACGTATCTGGCATTCTCTCGTAATTTCAACTCATCGTCTATTTGTATTCCTAAATATTTAATTAGCTTAACACGATTTATATTTTAGTTTCCTATTTTTACATGTCGCGGATAATCTGTATAATTTTTGTTGCTTATGGTCATATATTTTGTTTTATCGATATTTAACTTGAGTCTATTATAATTCAACCAATCCATTAACACTAACATTTCCTCATTTACCTCCTGACAGGAGGACCAAGGTATCATCTGCAAATAGATCGATAGTAAAATTTGTCTAGAATTATAAGAATTTTATGGACTCCCAAAGTTAATTCGTTTTACAGCCCCGTTGTCAATTTTATTGTACAGCTGAAGAGCGGGGCGAACTCAGGTACAGAAAACATCGGCTTTCCCCTGACAGGCTCTTCTTTACCTGTACAATAGAATTGACGCCTGGGCTGTAAAACGAATTAACGTTGGGAGTCCATAAAATTCTTATAATTCTGGACAAACTTTACATTTGTCTACAGCGTTTATTATGTCATTAATGTACAATAAGAATAATATTGGACCTAGAACGCTTCCTTGGGGAATCCCATATTTTACATCTACTGATTCAGAAAGAATATTATCACATTTTACTCTTTGTGTTCTGTTCGTCAAATAATTTTCTGTCCATTTTATTGCATTTCCGTCTGTTCCTAACTTTTTTAACTTTTGCAATAAAATTTTTCTGTCTATTATTTCGAAAGCTCTACTGAAATCTAAGAAAACTGCAACTGTGGTTTTCCATTTGTTCCTTCATATCTGCTATTACATTTTGTTTATACATTTTATGTTACATTACATATAGTTAATATATAGTTGGACTTTGGAGAACTTAAAACCACCACAAATTAATATGATGTTCACCTTTTTACAGTACATAGCTTCTGCTCGAACTTTAGAGTCTACCACTGCGTAAACAGCAAAGAGTAACAAACAAACAATAAAAACGGGTCGTAATTAAGTGTGCATTATTTTTAATACTTTGTGCATTAAATTTTATACTATGCAGTATGCACAATAACATTTGTGCATTAAATTTAGTATGTTGCGCCATAAGTTTTTGCATTTTGTGCATTATATTAAGTGCAAATTGGAATAATAAAATTATTGTTTTGGGCAATGATTTTCTGTACTGCGTGCATTATTGAAACTGTATAGAAAATAACAAACAAAAATAGACCTGCTGTATTAAAATATATTTTATGAATGCATACAAAATTAACAAAAACAAAAGATATTCATAGCAAAAAAGTAGCCAAACAAATTAAAAGTTTTGAAAAAATTAACAAAAAAACTTAAAAAAACTCGATTACTAAACATTATTAATTTATTGAATAATAATTAATGTTTTTTTGGCTTTAGAAGGGCGGATTCCTTCCCTGCCGAACTGGCACGAAATGAAGCACATGAGACGTCTTTTAAAGAGTGGGAGTGTAATGCCCACTTTACTGTGAACTAATGCACATTTTAGTAATTTACGGAACATTTGAAATGCTCGTTTATTTTTTCTCAAATACAAATTGATTTATTAAAGAAACAGTTATTTTAACGAATGAGCAAATTTAATTAAATAATTCTAAATTGCATTATTTATTGCCCTTTCAGTTTTACAAATGCTGAAATAGTTTCTTCTGTGCGGAAATGTTTTTATAGTGGACCAAGAGCTATAAGGTTATATGGCCATTATAAAATCATCCTATTGTGTCGAAGTTAAGTTGTTTACAATTGAAAAGGTTTTAGGGTCGTAAATAACGTGTCGTCTGCAGCTCGACCGCCTGTTGTGGTTTCGTTCAGGGGCGGCTTTCACTAAATATGAAAATCCACCACTCCACCATTTCTTTACTACCTCCAGCCGCTGAGGGTTCCGAAATAACCACTCGCTTTGAAAGCCGGCCCTGTTAAATGTGAGCAAGAAATGTTTAGAAGACGATTTATTGCCAACCGGTAAGCTTAGTGCGAACCACACAAAGGGGGTATTTATTTGCGGTCAACTACTTTTATGATGGTCATATAACCTTATAACTTTTGGACAAGTATGATAATGCTGTAACTTATTTCACATTTCATTAAAACTAGTGCGCATTTAAATTGTTCTCAATAAAAACTATTGCAGAAAAATGAACTTGCACACAGTTTAGAGAAACTTCAATAAATCGGAAATTAAAATGAATAATTGTATTTACAACAATTTATATGTACGTATTGTACGACGAAAGATATTTGCAAATGACTCCAATTATGGGAATTGCAGCTGTAAAATTTCCAACCACTTCGAAAAGTGCACCCAGCATAAAACTGTCGATCAAGATTACTCGCCACCCTTACCTTTCCAGGACCGTATTTGTTTCAATACGTGAACAGGTAGATTGTTAAACGGACCGCTTTCAAGGAATTTAATCTTAAAATTTAAGGACACATGAAAGTGTGCTTCTTAAAACTTTTTAAATCTTTGCAAATACATATTTCCTAGAAAAATCACAATAAAAATTAAATCTACCATGATTCATATATGAACACTCAAAAATTTGAAGTCCGGCTCTGGCTGAAGCCGTACCTCGGGTGTGAAGGATTCGTAATGGTTTTATTGCAGGTTTGGTCCAAAGTACTTAAGACCTCTCATAAAGTAATTGACGGCGTTTGCAATTATTTTTTATAGCACTTTACCACCAGCTGTTGCTAATCTAAAGGAATAAATATAATCCCCTGTCGAGTTCTGAGAAATACACAGCAGGGTTCGTTTGACAGGTAGTTGGATAGTTAGGTAATAGGTATTACAAGTTTCATATCTCTAAAAATAGAAATTTCCTTGACGTGTGGTGGAGCCTTAAGGTTATAACAGTAGGATATTGTGAAGTCAACAATGGAGCGGTTAATGAGGCAAACCCACAATTGTAAATCTTTTCAACTGTACCTGATTCCATCCGTCATCCATTGCAGAGGCAGATTCTGGAGAATTCGTTACTCGTCCAAAATACCCAATTATTTGGACCTATAATAATTAATAACACTTTATTAGGAATATCATCTTACACTATTTTGTTTTTGAAATCTATATGCTCCTTTTTTAAATAAATAAAACCTCAACTGTCCTTGAAAGAATGGTTGATGTTTTTTTAAAACTCTCATGAAGGCCAGCTGCATAATATATTTTAGATAAATAAGTTAGCTATTTTCTATTATAGTAGATTTACAAAAAAAAGTATAGTAGTATAGCAATATTGTGATACTTAAATTAAATTATGTTAATTATTTCGAGCCGGTTTACACAAGCACAATTAAATATTTCATTACGACTAAATTTTTAATGCGGCATTAAATTAACACGTGATCGATTCTATGCCAATCAGCAGGTAATTAGATTTTAGAATATTTATCTAGGGGAGTTGTTGGTACAAATTTATTCTTGCAGTTGTTCTTCAGTGTATACTTCCAGTAGTTTGTACTTTTTACTTTCTGAGCGTAAGCTAAGGAAATATAGTAACCGAGCCCACTTTTATGTTTTCTTGACGTTTCATGACCTCTAGAGTACGAGAAAAGTAGTCTGCCGTTTCCGTCTGTCTGTCTGTCTGTCGTCTGTATCCATTTTTATTAGTCACGTAATCTCCGAAACTACCGGACCGATTATTGTCATGTATATTAGGAGTATCATAGAGCGAATATTTAATTTTTTCCCCGTTTGACCGTTAGAACACCCCGTATGAACCTATTTTACATGAGTATTTTGGCAGAAATTGTGAAAAAATCTGAATTATGTGTGGTGTCATTAACTGTCGAAAAATAAAATATTTTCGAAACACGTATTTAAATCAAGTTTTCAAATTTGTTTTTGTAAATTCGCAATTTCTTATTCATCCATATATTCTGCTAATGAATAATGTTACAGTATTTTAATTAAAATTCATTTACAGTGCGATGAATAAAAAGTCTGCAAAAAATGTCTGATATGGTATCGGCGAGAATTTTTTGTTTATTTTTCGTGTTACGCAAAGAAGTTCTGTTGATTTTAACCTTGTTGACAGCGTATGCGGTGTAAATTAGTTTATTTAAGTGGTTTATTTTTGGTCAAAATGATTTGGTTTAGGGCTTAAAGTGACAGGTGCGTGTTGTGATGTACCTAAGAGGAATGAGCCTGCAAGGATCACCGAGGAAGGAAAGGAAATCGGGTTTAAAGGGTAAATTAGGCTTTATGTATCGGTCTGTTATTAAATGTATTGTGCCTTATTTCTTCAGTTATTTTATTCTAAATTGACACAAAAATATGAATTTTAAGGGAAAAGTAGTGGTATTGTAGAAATCGTTACTTAACGATGTAATAAATATGTTTGTTTCAACAAGAACTCAAACGTTAATATCTCGTCAGTGTCAGATATTTATTCTTTAAACCTGGCCGTTTCGACTCAAATAATTTGGAATATTTAATTGGGTTTTATGAAGGTTAATTATTTAAAAATTAAACCTAATTTTGATTTTTATCTCAGTGAGGACCGCTTTTACGTTTTATGCATCACTGCAATTAATAATATTATTCATTGCAATTATCGTTATTGTTTTTGTTTTTTTTAAATTTCAAAATTGTTTTGAAACATTTTTGTATTTGGGACATACTTAACTACAACTAATAAAAGTTCATTAAAATGGCAAAACGTTTCAGACAATCATTTTAATTGAAAACAGTGGCCTTCAATGTTTGAGTTTATTGAGAAGTGTTTATTGAAGTTTCGGTTAAATTAACTTTAAAATGTTTTTAATTTCCAAACGTAGTGTAGCAGGGTTATTTTTATTAAATTTTCATTTATTGTTTTCTGACATCGTATTTTTCTTTGTGTACACAAACATTTCAATCATTTCATGTGTTTTTTGTTGCAGTGGGTTCGTAAATGAAGATGAGGGGACTGGCTAAATTATAGTAGAAGAAGAAGCCTAAAGGTTAGAATTTTGCATTCATTTTAAATTGGGTTTGTTTATTTAACATTTTTTTTTATCTTTTATGAAGGCAATTTTGATTGGTAATTTATCTTAGGTATTTTTGTTTTATCAATTTTTTTACGTCTTTTTGTTACACATTTTATAAGTATTTTATTTTATTTTTTATGCACTCTTTTCCTTATGTGCATATGTTCAAACAATTTTTTTCTTTCGATTTTTCGTGCAGGAGAAAAAAAATAGGTTTTTATTTTTTTTTTCCAAGAATATTTAAAATATATACATATTATTAATTGTTTATAAACCGTTCTATGTAGTATTTGATTATCTGCTAGCATATTATGGGTCTGCTACTATATTATAGGAATGTTGAAAGAATATGAAAACTACTTGCCCCTAAAGTACAGTTGAACAAATACAGCTTCGAAAAATTATAGGTAAAATTTAACCCCGGTGGCCTAAAATTAATATATGTGTGGATTGTTAAAGTTGCAAGTAAAGAAGCATCGTATGGATTTGTTTCTATTGAGTTTTCGGAGAAATCATAAACCGCAGGTAATGAATACCTGGGTATAATTGTTTACTTGCGTTATACAGATAAGAGGCGATTGTTGAATTCTTGGCTAAAAAGTTCTTACTAGAAGGGTATTATACAGGATTATTATAAATGTAAGTGCATTTTAACATACAAAGCCGAGGCGCTGGGCCGAGTTTTGTTAGGTCCGAGGATGTTAAAATGATTTACCTACGTGTTGTAAGACTTACTACGTTTTTCTCAACACTTGCAAAATTGAATTTTAAATGAAAGAAAAGTTAAAAAAATGAAACTTTTTTCAAATTTCGACGTAGACTATGCCGGTTGTTATGGAGCTTCAGCTTTCAATTAAATGGTGCTGTGATTCTTATCAAATCATAAGTGACATTATTAAGGTTCTAGGACGGTAAGTATAACATTTACTTATTCAGTGTCAGTAGCAACCGATAAACAAACCTAATAGGCTTGAATTTGACAGAGAGGAAACCCATAAGAATTTTGTTTATTGAAATTCATGAAAAAAAAATCAGTAAATAGGATATTCAAACACCAGATTTGGAGGTAAATTTACTAAATTGGCAACCCTGATTATTACTAGTCAGAACTGCCAACTGCCAGCACTTTTTAGAATAACAAGTTACTGCTCTGTCTAAAAAGGTAACCCTGACACCCTGTCAAAAACGTAACCTAAAATTTTAAATTTTTTATCCATTTATGAGTTTGAATTTCGTTTTGATAAAACGAAGGAATTTCCACTTTGTGCAGCATGGCAGAAACAATTTTAAATGGTGACATTCTATATTTGAAAAATTTGATAGGACGAACAGTTTCAGTGGAAACTGTGGACAATCAAACGCACATCGGCACTGTTTATGTAGTGGATCCAGTTTACAAAACAGTAGTTTTGATAAATACGACCACAAATCGTCTTGAACTGATCCTGTCTCATGCAATGAAGTCATTCAATGTATTTCCGGACACAAGAAACGAAGATTTTCTTCGCGACAATGTAAATAACGTTAATCCGGAAGATTTTGTACAGAAAAAATTGAAACTTACAAAGTGGTTGAAGCATATGTTTTTGGATGTAAAGGAAGATGGGGACACACTGCGAGTAGAAGATCACTTGATTATTGGACCTCCGTATGGGAAGAGTGAATGCATGTGTGATAATACAATAGTTTTGGAGAGGATACGCAACATAATAGATTTAATGCCAGCAGACTTTAAGTAAGAATTTGTTTAATTACTACGTTATGAGAGTAACATTATTTTTTATTACAAAATTTATAGAGTTAATAACGTTCAATTATATTTAAAAACAATCAATAAAATATATTTTTGTATAAATAAAAAAGTCTATAAACTGCTATCAGCCTTTCTAATAAATAAGATGGGTATAAATTGATAAATATTTATATGTTGTCAAATTTCTAAATCTACCAAGCTGCAAAACTGAGGTTAGTACTCGAATCCTTTTTTTGTGTTACCGCTGTTTCGTTCTCTATATGTATTTGGTCGAAAGTATCTAAGAAGTATTCAATCTTTTCAAGTAAGTTCGTCGCAACACTTGCAAATTCTTCCCAAATTAGATATTCTTGAGTAACGTAGATCTCAGCATCCTCTGAGCCTTCGGTGATACCAAATAACTTTTCTTCATCTGTTATCAAAAACAGTTATTTTTCATTTAAAGACGCACAGAATCACACTTACCAAGATAGTCGGCTAAAATGACTAACAACTGTTGAATTTCGTCATCTGGAATAAGTTCATACAAATCTGCAGTTTCAATGCAATAATTCCAGATGACTTGACACACCAACATTCCCAATAACCAGTCGTTTTGGGCGAAATTTGTTAAAATCGCAATCAGTTTGGACACTCCTCCTTGATTTTTGAACAAATTTCGCGACTTATTATCAGCCATTAAGTTAACAAAAACTCCAATCGTTGTTTTGAGTAGAGTCAGGTCTACTTTTTCTAAAATGTTGACTAACACTGGAAATACTTCAGATTTGGCGATATAGTCCCGTGTTATTTTTGACCGGGACAAGTTGCCCAAAATTCTCATGGATTCTATTACTGATTCTTTATTGCGGGATTTACAGTATTCGGTTATGCCTTCAACGATTTCTACTTGTTTTATGTGAAAAATGTCCTGTTCCATGTCCGACGTGTAATAATAAGATAAATTGTTGAGGGTGCTTAAAATGGACATCACTAATTCCTCGTTCTTTTTGAACGGGTTGCTGATTAAAACTTTTAAAAATTCGTCTATTAAGAGGCATCCGTAGGATTCGTTGACAGCTTTACCTATCTCAGGGTTAATTACCATGTTTGCAATGACTCTGATTACCTAAAAGAACTCGTGTAGAACTTTGTAAAATAGAGTCACTATAGTTTTTACTTTAATCATTACGTCTTCAGGATTTCCATTTTCGATTGAATCGTTGTCGCTTTTTAAAGAACAAATTTTCAGAGTTCTTTCCAGATATATTTTCCATAGGTTTAGAAGACTTTTAACGGAGTTTTTTTCGTGATAAAACTACAATTGTTTCATAAGAATACAATTTTGCTGGAAATTCGTGTACTTACTTTGACCCGAGTATTATCAATTTTTGCTACTATATTTCCTAAAGTGTACGCCAATCTGACAATAATTTCTTCATTGCCAGGATATTTCTCAAAAAGGTGTATAAAGACTTTATAAATGTCCTTATACTCCACGAGACTGTCACAACAACAGTCGTTTGTAGATATGGTACTATAATTTGAGACAGTGGAATAAATTGTGTAATTTTATGGTGAGTCTCACCTCAAAATTCTTGATATGTTGCTTATGATATCTAAATCCGAAGAAAACAAATTCATCGTTTGACATAACTGCTGAACAGCTCCACAAGAGATAAAAGTTTCATAAATAGTTTCCTCTGAAACAATATTTCTTAAGGCACCAGTTAGTTGAAACAAGGCATGATTTGTTTGTTCAGGCATTGATGTTTTATCCGCTTTCTAAAAGAGAAAATATATTTTCTTTATCTGGATAACATTGTAGCAGGACTTACAGCGTTATTTATTATTTTAACGTGCAAAACCATCAACTGTAAAATTCCTAAGGATAAAATTTTATCTAAAAGTTTTGTGTTCATTGTTAAAAATTTCACAGATCCATAGCCGTATACGCAGGCTTCGGCATCATCTAGTGGGCTTGAACGACCCAAGGCATCCAAAAATAATTCTGAAAATTTATATTTAAGCAAATTTCCAAATTGTGTCTTAATAATTACTTACCTAATATATTTTTCTGGAAGAATAAGTAGTCGTTTTTGTCGTTCTTCGACACTTTGAAAATTAGTTTGCATACTCCACTCAGGTTATTTCCTGTTACTTTCAGCTGGAAAAATAATTTAAATCTTAGTTGCAGCTAAATAAAGCAGTCATCTTCTGGTTTGTTATTATGTTGTTGAAAACTAAAAGTTAAACAATTTACTTTCTTTGTGACTAAAAATAAAATTGAGAAAGGCATTGTTTTAAAGGTCTGATAAATCGAGTAGGTAGTGTTCATTTTTGTGAGTATGAAATTTGTAGATTGAGACGAAAACGAGTGTCGTAATCGTCAATAGGGAATTAGGTAATGTGTTTTTTGTTGTCATTACTTTGCATCTTTGTTCTACTTATTTAAAAGTTTTCAGAAATAAAGTTTTTGACGATATTGTTTCACTACGTAATATATAGCGTTTCGTGCTGAACAGAAACAGAACGAAATAGTTGACCTTCCAACTGTTCAATTATTATTCTTATGTAAGCATGTTTTTAAGGTAAAACTTAATTACGTTGTAATGATGTGCAGGTGTTAATAAAAGGAACGTTTAACGTGTACCTATACAAGATAAGAATTGTTTCAAATTTATTGAAATGCGAATTCGGTCGATATTGTAGTTTGATCAATATTTCTAAATTTACCCATTTCGGACTGAAATACTTGGGTATTTTATGTAAGTTAAAATTAGATAAATCTTATAAAAGCATAATTATTGTACTTTTTTATGTGAGTGGATTTAATTATAATACGTTTCAAAAAATAGCATATAAGAGTATGTAGAAACTCGAGTTTTGGTGATTTTAAAACAAATTACACTGCTCAACTGCAGTTCCTATTTTGTTTGCCCTAGTTTGTAGATTCCACTAAAAACACTAAAATTATATATGACCATTTGAACAATTATTTCAGTTTTACTGTCATATTAGTAGAGTTCGTTAATTTTGACGAGTCGACGTTTCATTGGTTCAAATAGCACGAATTATGTACTTCTACATCATATCTTTAATGATCTTAATAAATTTAATTATTTAACATCCAAAGCTGAGGTGTAATACTACAATACTAGTTCCTGTGAAGATTCAGGCCAATTTAAAAATTTTGAAGCTTTCCCAAGAGTCAAAATAGAATTATCCAAGTGTGAATTTGAATATTCACTTGACTATTAAGTGTCACTTATAGATTAGACTTTTACCACATTGTTAGAATCAGTGTTAATAAAGTGAGTTCCTAAATTGACGAAAACAATCAATAATGCTAATGGAAAATTTCACCACATTCTGGCAATAGATTACTATAAACCAGTGGATTCCCAAACATTCCACTTTGTATTGTGAAATGAGTAAAATATGAAACTTTTTATGTATGGTGGATATATATTTTTTTTATATTTTATATGTGCAAGAGAACTGTAGAGGTTTACTGAATTACTTTACTCCCTTCGTTTTGTGTTATAAAACAACCATATTTGGTAAGATGTATACAGTGTATACATATAATACAATAAAAGCAGGGCTGTAGTGTGTGATGTTGATCATAGCAACCGTCCCTGTTGTGTTTATAGGTCATAAAATTTTATGAGATGGGATGGAAGCATTGTTTTGGGATTAAACACACTTGTACTGTCTAATTCTTTATGAAGTTCGCTATAACAGCACCACTGAAAATAAATAGTCCAAAATTTAGGACCGTCTATAACAATAATTGAATCAGAGTAAGCTTTGTTTTGAAACATTTGTTTCCAGTGATGCGTCGTTGTAATTTGACATTTTAAGAATACACATACTAACTAGAATGCATACGCATACCCGTCAGATGTGATTTTTTGAAATATGCGTTATAGTATTTTTATTATTACTAATATATGTTAAAATGGTGATAAAAACTAAATAGGTTTAAATAAATTGCTATAAATAGAAGTGGCGGACCTAACTTTTAGGGCCGCAGCGAGACTACCATAAAAGTAGGAACTTCTATTAAATAATGTTTATTACCCTTCTGTTGTTTTCTTTTCTCCTGTTCAGATGTTTATTCATAAACTGAAGGGTAATAAACATTATTTGGCAGTGCTTAATATCGTTATGGTAATTCTATTATGGTCTTGGAAGTTAGGTCTGCCACTTTTATTTGCCAGGACTATAATGATAATTTTATGGTACGTAACCACTGTGAACATACTCCTACAATAAACAATGATTTTAGAGCAGAGAATTACGAGAGAAAGAGAGGAGAAAGGTTTAGTTTTGGATGAAAAGTTGCCTCCTAAGCCCGACACTTACTACTTCCCGAGCGGTAGCGGTAACCGCGCCATCACCATCATGAGAAATGTTTAGTTTAATGGCGTTTCGCTGCTCGTATGACACTAAATGCAATGAAATAAGTAAAGTGTTTTCAAAGAAAATATTGGCGAGGAAAGTTAGCTGCAAATCACTTCTCAGATATTTTCATTTATCGATTACTGATATGAAAAGGATAAGATGAAGGAAAGCAAAAAATACCCAAAATGTGAACACCAGACCACGACGCATAATATGTGTAGAATATGATTGATTGTACACACGAGGAAAATGAATAAATGTAAAAATTGACAATAGTAACATACAGAAAAAAGAAGTAACAAAGAATGTAGAGAGTTAAAGAGAGAAAAAATGTGGGGACGAAATCCGAAAAAATCAAATTGAAGAAGATAAATATATGTCTATTGAATTGTAGTGTTAAATGAGAGAAAATAGATATAGGGATTTACAGGTGCCCCAACGACTGACGGATTGAAACTATTAAAAAAATCGAGGCACTCTAATAGAATTCACTTAAGATTGTCGCTTAGTAATTATAAATATATAAACTGTTACTCCTTATGTTATAACCAGAGTTAGGCAAAGCCGAAGTGATGAGGGATCAATTAGACAAATATTAAATACGACGGCCCGACATCAGGCGATAAATTTGGCTGGTCGACTGTGCAGTCTCAACCTCAGTGGCGTTTGATTCACTTTAAGTTTTATCTGATCAAAATCATCACGAAAATTGTGATGTTGAACAGTCATTTTTAATTTTTAAAGCAATTTTAACATCTAGGCGCTGGCGATCGGACGGCAATGAGCATCACTTCCGCGATACTGAAGCCTGGTTATAACATTTTAAAATTTTTAATAAGCTTTCTTTTGATAGTAAGTTTTTGGGGGTTTATCCTAGCGATAACTGCAAAGAAACTGTTACCATAAACCTTAACAAATTTGGTATCAAAAGAAAGCTTACTTGGGTATAAGCTCGAAATTTTTATACAGTAAAATTAAAATACAGTCGCAGTCAGAAAATTTGTGTCATTCCATTGTCACAAAGTTAAGTTACTGTAATCTTATTAAGTAAGTTTATCATTTTTAACATTGCGGGCATGCTAACACTGGATACGATGTCAAAAATATTTTAAACTTTGTACGTCAAAGTGATAGTAAGATACACAAAAAGCCCCTACCAATCTTAATCTAATAAAAAAAAAAACAGATTAATCGTTATACCAGTCAAAGAAAAAAATCAGCATCATAACCCCCTAACTTCAGTTTAATCCCAGTCAAGGACATTGAACCTAAAATAGGGGCTTCTACACGAGCCTTAGGAAGTCACAAATGAACAAAAAACAGGAATTTTAATAAAAAAAATTAACAAATAAATAAATAATTAACCTATTAACATTATTATTAAAAAAATAACAAAATAAAGATCCAAAACATTCATTACAAAAAAAAAACAAAGAAACCATCATAGGAAAAGAAACTAAAAGGGTATAAAATAATAAATAAATCCCAGCCAGTAAATGCTCGGGTTGATAATTAACTTTTAATTTAATCTAACAATTAAAATTAATATTGTGATCAATCTCAAAAATTAAAAGTAAAAAATAAACAAATCATTAAAATTAAAACAACAAACAAGAATAATCTTTACCGATAATTCTTAAAATAAATCTTTTCCCCAGCTATAACCATTAATCTACAAATCCAAAAACTAAGCAAAATTAACACAAGATAACAAATCAACCCCAATTTTCCTGAAAATCTTGAAAACAATTCCACAGAGACAATTGTAAGCAAGAAAAATAAAAAACATAAAAAGACCAGACTTGACCTGGTCTCTAGACTACATCGAAATTTTGATAGTGACCTCCGAGATTTTCTGACCACGACTGTATATTTCAATAAGATGGGTTTCAAAAAAAAAAAAAAAACCTGGCCTGTAGGTGTCTTATTTCTTTTGAGTCCATCATTATATGCTACCTCGAATTAAATCGTTTTTAATAATATATGATCTGATTTAAAAATTAATGCTTAACGTTCATTTGTTTTTGTCAACGACTTTCATTTTCGTTTAAAGAACGCCCTATATATTTTTTAGAGATTCTTGTCCACATTTTTTTTTTTTCATTGATGTATCATACTGCAACATTTTCGAACAGGAATAATTTAATATTTGCAGTAAAATATTTTTATAGAATTATTTTTTTCATGCATAAAAAATTGAATTTTAAAATGTAAATACCATATGATCGAAAACTAGCCCCGCCTACCCGCCCTCTCTTTTCTTAGAGAGTATGTCATTTGCCAAAATCAGATTTTTTATCTTAGCAAGTACTGATGACTAACTTTTACAAAAAATGATCAAAATTTGGAAACATTACGAGCTTACTTATATGCACAAAGCAGCAATTTTGAACATCTTCACCAATATTTAGTTGGTTATGCTTTACTGGATTTTTCTTTTGTTGGTTTTGTTTTTGTTTATAAAATATAAATGTCTTGTTAAATGATTTTTTTTTGGTTTATTTATTAATGAAAAATAACAGCTTGTTTTATTAATAATAATCCACAACGATTAGTGACTACTGGTTGTTTTGGTTATTGTCCTAAAAAATAAAAAAGGTGGATTTCAGTCACCATCGTTACTAAGAACTCAGAAAGTAAGCCGGAGGTATAATTTCCCGAGTTCTAATTCGGTTTTATGGTAGTACCCCATTATGGAAAAGTTAACGTCCTTAACAATAGATTACTACTGCCTGCGATGGGACAGACATAAATAAGGATTTAACCATTATACTGTATAATGGTAACGACATTAATTTATACAGTATAATGGTTAAATCTTTATTTATGACTGTGTCATCACTGGCCGTACTAATCTGTTGTTGAAGTTAACTTTTACACATCATAACACCGAATTAGAACTGGGGACACTATATTCACGCATTATGTGCAGTGTTGCCAATTTTACTTTTATAAAATTATGTTTTTTTCGTAATCTACATCATAAAGAATTTTTTTATTATTTTTTTTTGGGACTCCCGAAACCCTCGTACATTACATATTGAAGAGTTAATCTGTCATTTTCCAGACACCCGGTGTATCATGATAATTCAATGAATGTAAAAAAAAAAACTCTTTAAAAAAATATATAGAGCGTTGCTTTAAAAAAGAAAAAATCGAATGTCATAAACAAAAAATGAACGACGAAGATTAATTCAGATCGTCGTAGGTATATGTATATAATTTTTTCGAAACATACGGTATATGGCGGAGTCAAACATTTTAAAATGTGACTATTTTTCTTATAAACATGTAAATATGTTGAAAACTACTCATAGAAAATCTTTGTGCCTAATATCATTTTTTAATTACTGTAAATCTAACTATAACAAACGCATAGATGTTACGTGTACGAAAAGGCATAAATTGTGCATAACTTCGAAACAACCCGTATATAATAGAGAACAATTTTGAACTGCAGCCTTAAATGCGTTTTATTGGATTTACGTAAAAACAATGTTTTCAATGCGAGGATGCGTAATTTATAATCGTCAGATGGTTGAGATACCCTGTATAAGAGTAGACCAGCGATGAATTTCGAAAACAAAAGTGTGGTGCCAACATAAGTAAAAAAAATTTAGTAAAATATTTTCACAGGCTAAGAGAACAAAAAGAATGAGATAAAAGAAGAAAGAATACTCGGAAATTAAAGTGGAATCACCACACACACAATGAAGCAGAAAAGTTAGCAACCATGGAAAAACAACAGTAATACCAATGTTTTTATGAATGAATCAGAGGAAGAGGAGTCAGGGAAACGAAGAAAAAGAAAATTTTGAAATGCATATGGCTAAAAAATGCATTTTGTTTTTGATAAACTTGAGGAGAAATAAGAGAAAACAGAACACTAAAATTAAGTTGTAAATTATGTCAAAAGACATAACATTTTAATTCAAGGCTGGGCAGAAATTTTTTAGAATGTAACTAAAATTTAGTAAACCAGTTTTAGTTCTAGCGCACAAAAACAATCTGGTGTAAACCTTATGTATGTTATATTTATTATTTAGTACGAATTTGTTTTAATGATTTTTACGGTAACATTTTTTTCTATATTCATAACTGTAGGAGTAAAAGAAATATACCTATCATTACAAAAAATATGTACGTTACTTACCCCCAAAATAACCCTTGCGATGTTCAGCAACAGTTTCTCATTTTGCGACTCCACATACTTATACAACGCCTTCAAAATGTGAATTTTCATCTTGGAGCTAACTTTTGTGTTGAGTAGATTTTCTGTCTCCATGCGGTCATACAACTCCTCCAGTAACTCGATAACACGATCCTCATTATCCATTTTGACGCTTTCGTAATTTAGGTCGTTAATAACATCTTCAACACTTCTCTCCTTACTTTCCGCAGCTAAAATTGAATTTTGTACTTTATTTCGACGCTGCGGACTTAGTTCCCTATTAAAGTAACCTGTCCGGACAAAGAGTGTCTCAGAGTTTTCAATAATGTGTTTGTTATCAAATATTTTGTTTAGATTTTGTGGACCCAAAAGAAGACATTGAGATAAATTTTTTTGCTTGATTGACGACCGACCGAAAGGTGAATCGAGATTTTCGTTGAAATCTGTGCGTTCTTGCGGAGAACTGAAGGCTTTTCGTGGTTCGGTGTTCTTTAATTCTTCCTGTTCCTCGGGAACTGGTAAAAATGGTGTTAAATGCGGGTACTAAGAGAACGAAAACACACTTACGATTATCCAGTGATGTGGTATTTTTGAAAAGTTTCCTTTTTTGTAGAGGTTTTAAGTGGTCTAATGAAGGCAACTTGACTTTGTTTAAACACACTTCTTTGATACCGATGTTGAAGATTTTGTTGTCGGTGATTTCCGACAGGGAATTTGAACGCTGCTTTACTATACCTGATTTAGGAATTGTATTTGTTCCCGAGTTGATTTTTGCCGTTGAGGTTAGCATTTGAGGACTGAGGATCATGTTGGAATCGTGTATGTTTGTTGGAATTTCGGCTTCATTTTGAAGGTACCGTAGGCTGGAACGTAGACGTTAAGGTCACCATAATAATTTTTACTGTAATTGTTCAAGTTTATTCTTACGACGTATAAACAGTTAAATGAGAAATCCCGAATGGAAATGCCATTCCAACCTCGCTGATTTTTTACTAAGGAAATGTAAAAACAAAATTTTCATGGACTAGCTCACGTACACTAAACATGGCTTCAAACATAGCATAAGCACTGAACTCTATACAACACAATATGTCAACACTTTAATTATAGTTACATATCGCTATCGCATATTATTACTATAGTAGGAGTATATAATAAAGTTAATTAAATGGTGAGTGCGACTCAATCGTAAGTTGGGCTGAATGCAAAGAAGCTATAAAGAAATAAAATCGTTAATGTTGTCCTTGTATTGTATTAAAATTTGTATCTAATTATGTCTAGAGTTCCACAATTTAAAATGTCACTAATCATGAACATGAAAACCTGTGCGTATAAATAATCTCAACCATGAAAATAGAATTCAGGAATAAAATCTGTAAAATTTGGGGCGTATTTTGCAATAAAAATGTTTATTTTAGTGTGTACATAGTATCTATGATAACTTTATTATATTACCAACATTTCAGAGATATGTAGTTAGATTAATCATTTCTGACATAATTAATAAAATAAATAACTTCATATGCTTCGAGTTTTGTAATAGGATTCATTTGATGGCGAATGCCAAATTTCATGTTTGTTGCACGTTTTATGGCTTGTACAATAAAAATAAAATACGCTCATCAAAATTTGTCTATCCATCATCCCCACCAAAATTTTAATGCACGTAAATCCTATATAAAGTATGTAAATTAGTAGGAGTCTATACGTGTGATTTATAATTTTATAAGTCCACCCAATTTTTTAATATCAATACAGGCGTTAAAATAAAAAGATAAAATTTACAAAATCAACTTTTCAGGTGCGACGGAAGTTCTATCGAAATAATTTTAGACTAAATGTTTTGAGATTAGGTTGTCAGCTTTCTGGAGATAAATCAGTAAAGTGTAATTAAAATTTTGTGTGTAAAACACAAACACTCAGTGTGGGGTGAAGCTAACGTCTAACGCCACTCTGCAACATCTCACGGACAAACAAAAACACAAACACCCAAAAGCAAGGTATAGTGTGCCAAGGAATATAGTGATTTTTTGGCTTTCACTCCTTGCCTACCCTTGCAGGTTTAATAGATGAACATTTTTGACACCATCCCAACTTAGGTAGCGGCTCCTTGCTGTATTTGGATGCAGCGGTTCTCCTAAGCAGGATCGTCGTATCTTTAGCCGTATTAATTTAAGATGATCTTTGTTCGTAAACGAGGGGCTTGGAAAAGTCAAAATCATAAAATTACTATATTCCTGAGCACACTATTCTTTGACTTGGCAGAAAATCGAACCAGTGACTTATCCTGTAACAGTTTATCGATATGAGTATTTTGTGTTTAGTGCTAAGCCAACTTGTCTGCGTTTTCTCGCTAATATTTCGAAATTACCTATGATACGTCATCAATTTTTTGGAGAGAATAGCTAGATCTGTTCGGTAAATGCTTTACGGTTTTTACGACATTTTTAATGTATAAGTATAATTAATCGATACGATGTTTTCAGAAATTAAATGAAAAAAAAATGGAAGAAAAAGTACTATAGTTTTTTTGGTGTTTTTTTTGTATGGGGGCAGTGGCATACTTTTCCTTTTAGAGTAATATCTATAGGTGAATATCTTTTATTTTTGTTGTTGTTGTACACATAGTTACCAATTTTTATTACACTTATACTTATTTGGGTTGTGGAGAACATTACGAAAAAGGTAAAGTGAATTAATATTTGTTGAAATGCCAATATATTAATTAATATTGTGAATAACATAAAAACGACGTATAATCATGTAAATTCAAAAAAAGTCCCTACGCAAAAAAGGTCAGGTTTTATTCTCTCTAGTTAATAATAAGTGTCGAATCGATTGACACATTTTTTTTTTACAAAAAATGCTAAGTATATTATTATACACATACCTACTAGTTTAATAAGACTTTCTTTTGTAGCACGACGAGTGAAGAGGGGGACCGGACCCTTGATGTATCCCAAAACTTGCACATTTTATATTAGAAGCAAATTGTTTAAAAACAAAATTGATTGAAAGTTATTTCAACAGAACTTTCCTAGCCTCTAAAGTATAGTCGAATAAATGCAACTTCGAAAAATTATCATCAACTTTAACTGTGAGAATTCTTTTTTTTTTTTCATCGTATCTATATCTTTATAGTCAGTTTTTCCATATAATTTTTTGATAACGTCATTAACATTTTAGCAAGGGCGCATATATCAATTTAGTATTAATATACTCCTTAGAGTTTTGACACCCTTGGAATCCTCGAAATCTTTGAAATTTAGAGAAGATTTTGAACTTTCACAAATTCAGTAAAATGTTTAAGAATTTGTAGAATTGAGTAAATTTTTAAAATCTCCAGAAGTTCCACATTTTCTAAATGTTATAAAAACATCAGTCTTCGGATATGCCAGAATTCAATGTTTTCCTCAGTTTTCAAGATTTCTAAGTCTTCCAGATTTTTCACACTTTCCAGATAATAATTAGGGTGTTCAAGATCCCTAATACTTGTAGGATTCCCCAGATTTTTAGGATTTTTAGATTTTTAGGATTTTTGTTTTTTTAGAATTTTAGAGCCTTTGGAATCTTTAAAATTTTTGTCATTTAAAAGTTCATGCGTTTTTTACAAATTATAGAATCTTTGAAATATTTGGAACATAATTTTAAAAACCTTTTCAATGTTCGAGTCCTTAGAGTATTTAGAATCTTAGAGTTTTCAGAGTCCTTGGAGTTTGAACAATCTGGAAATTTGAATACTTCAGAATTACTAGAAATTTTATAAAGTTCATAATTTTTATAATTTCTAGGAACATAATACTTCTAAGATCTTTACAATTTTAAAGATTTTGTTGGATGTTTCTTCTATTTAGAACCTAAAACTTTAGTTTATTTAGCATCTTTGGTGTCTTTACAATTCGCAAATTCTAGTGTATGAAAACTTCAAGATTTTTAGAATGTGTCGAGTCTTTAGAATTTTTGAAAGGTTTGAAACCTTTTAAATAATTCAAACATTTGGAAACTGGAATTTTTAGAATATCTACCTACAATCTTAAGATTTTGTAAACTTTTGAAATTATGAGATTATTAATATTTTTAATTTTTTTTAATTTTTGGGAATCTTCGTAATTTGCAAAATTTTTAAAATATCCAGAATGTTCAGATTTTCCAGATTAGCCCAATTTTTCAGATTTTCCAAAGTACACAAAATGACCCCAATTTCCACATTTTCCAAAATTTCTAAAATTATCAGGCTTTAGTTATACCAGCATCTTGAAATTCAACCTTTTCCAATAGATTCAAGATTTCTAGGTCTACCACCTATTTCCCACTATTTATAAACTTTTTCAGATCCAGTCTAAATCTTTAGAATTTTTGGAATCTCTGGAATCTTTATACACTCCAAGATTAATAAGATAATGATTCGTTCAGTGCATTTAGGATATATAAAAATGAAAGAAACCATTTTTCCGATCTTTACGATTTTAAGGTCTTTTGTTGTTTTCTTTAAAGTCTTTAGAATTTTAAGAGTTCACGCGATTTTTACAAGTTTTAGAATCTTTGATTTTGGGAATTTCTCTAGAACCTTTAGAATCTTTCAAGTATTCGAAACAGAATTTTAGCTTTTGACCCCTCAGAGCCTTTAAAATCTTGTCTTTAGACTCGAGTTTTTCCAATCTATAGAAATTTTGAACACTTTGGGAATTACTAGGGGTTTTATAAAGCCTAAAATTTCTGCAATTTCTAGGATTATTAGTACCCCCAGGTTTTTTAAAATGTTAAAGATTTTGTTGGATCTTTTTTATATTTAGAACATTAGAACTTTAGTTTATTTAGAATCTTAAGTGTCTTTACAATTTGCAATTTCTAGTGTACGTAATCCGTGAAAGCTGCTATACTTTTTGAATCTTCTAAACCACCGGAAACTTTGGAATCTTTAGAATCTCTAGAATCTAGAACATAATTATATTCATTTCTATAATCTTTAGGGCTTTCAGATTTTCATTATTTTTAGATACTTCAGTACCTCTAGAATTTTAAATAGTTTTAGATCTCTAGGATTTCTATCATGTTTCCAATTTTTAAATATTTAGAATCTGTGGAATCTTCGGAATTTTTTAAATCCCTGAAATCCCTTTAGAATTTTTAAATTGCCGGCTTCTCTAGATTTTTTTAAGTTTTTTGAAATCCTCGCAGTTCTTAGAGTTTTTGGCATCCTTGAAAGCCTTAAAACCTTTGAAAGGGTTAGAAGATTTGGGACTTTCACAACATTTGGAATCTTTCCACAAATTCGGTCAGAATTTTAGAATTTCTGTAATTTCTAGAATTAACATTGTGCATATTTTACACTTATTCGGCAAAATTGTAAGACGGCGTCATCGATTTTTATCAGACAAATTTTAGTTAGAGTTTTACCATCTACACGATATTCCTAATACACGTACAAAAATTGACATCTACGTTTTCGTATTCTAGGGGTCATGAAACGTCAATTTTCGGAAAAACGGAGTGAGCCGTTCCCGATTTAATCAATAAAATAAATTGACTCGTTCATTCATTTTTATGAGTCACCCTGCATAAGAAATTTAAAATCTTTTAGTGGAATGATAAATCACAATTTTGGATTGGATTTATTCGGCAAAATTTTGAGATGACACCATCAGTTTGTTGGAAGGGGCTAAACGAATAAATTTTTCTTAATGATTTACCATGATTACGATAACCTTAAAATATTTACAAGATTTCAGAGCAATCGGTTTTGCAGTTTCAAAGTTATATTGCAAAATATTATTTAGTTTTGAATTTTTTCCAAAAATTCTGGATGTCGAGGCTGAAAATTCGATGCGGATTCACACAACACGTGTGCAGGCGTATCTTATTTTGTAAAATTTAAAAAAACTTTTTATTATAAATTTTGGAGATGACGTCATTTCATTGATGGTGGGGATGATTAGCCAAATTTACTTGTCTAATGAAAATGGATACAGACACCAGGCAGACAGACAGACAGACAGACGGACGGACGGACGGACGGAAACGGGAGACCATTTGTTTCGTACTCTAGAGGTTATGACACATTGAGAAAATATAAAAGTGGCAATTCGGCCGATGGACTCGATTACTATATGTCCTTAGCTTACGCTTGGCAAGTAACAAATTCACAAAAGCTTTCATTGTGGAACTTATTGACCAGGGGCAATATAACGTCTTGTAAAAGTATTAAATAAGTCTTTATTGAGAAATCCATTTCGTAGGTACTGTTTGTCTTTCGTCCGATTTTTTGGCCTTTTTACAACTCCCTTCATGAGACGTCTCAAAAAATTGGTGTAAATTATTTAGACAGAACTTCCCTTGCACCTGACCCTAAACAAATCAGTCTCTTATAAAAAAAAAATTGACAATGATGGGATTCGAACCCATGCGGGCAAAGCTGAAGTTCAATGTCGTATCTACTAAACCACCACAGCTTGTGTGCGTGCGTTACCTAAATCACGTGGCAAATATTGCGCAAAAATGTTTGTAATTGTGTAATTGTGACAAAAATAAAGGCAGATTCATCAATCACAAGTACAAGAGTATGTTGGTTTATAAAATTTAAACAGTACGCAAAAGTTACAGATAACGTCATCAAATTGTTGGTGGGATTATTAGCCAAATTTTGGTCAGCGTTTTACTATTACATGATATTTCTAACATACAGCATACATTTAAAATTTCATAACAATCGGTCCGGTAGTTTCAAACCGACAGAAGTCTGACAAACGGAAACGGAATACCTATTTTTTAATATTTTAGGGGCTATGAACCGTCGAGAAACTATGAAAGACTTCTTTAGCTTACGCTCGGGAAGTGAAAAAAGAATAAACTAATTTATTTTATGAATAATTTCAGAAAGGTTCATTTAATTTTTCTAATATCTTAGAAATATAGTAATGTTTTATTAGTGTTACTTTGTGCTTATCCAAATTAATATTTTTATTCCCAGCAAAAATGTGAAAATATTAAATAATAAATTTTCATTGATAAATATCGGCTTTGAACTGCGGCATCGTCTATATTCTGTGCAACAAATCTAATTAAAAAGAACTAAACGAAAAACGTCTTTTAGTGTAGATTTTAGAAGTAAAGTTGAAAATTTTTCGCTAGCGTTTGTATTGTAAGTTAAGATGTCAATGACATCCCAAGTTCTGTAGTACAGAGTTTTTAAATGGAATCAATTTGCACGGGATAATGCTTTAATGATGACAAAGGTGTGTTTAGTTTTGTGTAGCCGTACCCTTTCAAAACGATGGAATATGAATGGATTTGAAATCAATTATACATTAAAAAATATTTTAAAAATGAGACAGCCACGGACCTGTTTTTTTTTTAACACATGATATAAAACTGTCGTGTCCTTTTGCGAATTTTGTTTTTAAAAGACGAACGACAATGACGCATACGTCCGCATAGCAACTGAAACGGCTGATGCCCAACTAGAGTAGAAATTTAAAAAATCACTCGATATTTCTATATTTGAGAGATGTACTAAGTTTTTAGTACTTGTTTATGTTGGCATTTGGAATTTATAGAACTAAAGCTAGTTTTTCATTCTGATTCAAAGGATAAACCTCCGAAGTTGCGTGACAACTTGCCAACTATTTTGTTACGTTTGAATTTAGCTAGTTCACGAGAGTCCTTTAAATAGACCTGATCTTGAAAAAAATGTTAAAAATTTTGTTTGTGTAGTTTCTTTTTAGTTGACAACGATGACTACTTATCTATTTATTGCGAAATGAGGATAGCGGATTTGATTTTGAAAAAGTATTTATGGTAGTTTAGTTTATATGCAGAGAATTTAATTTGTGGTCCGTACAATAAATTTTAATTAAAGCTTGAAGAACTTCCTTTATGAGGTAATAAAAAAAGTGTTTTGTGTCCGCAATCAATAAACAGAGAAAGAGTTTGTTCACTTTTTTTATGATCAAGATTTTGCTAAAGCGGAACGAGTCGGTGACACGCCTAATGAAAATTGATGTTGCCGATAATTCTGATCAGATTAAAGGTCTGCAAGGAGTCAAGGTTATCCACAAGAAATGTGGAAATGAGGTATTGATTTTGAGCTTAATTCAAATATACAAAATTTGTAACACGTGGACTATTCCGGCAAATGTGAATTTTTCTCAAAATATCGACGCATTATTTACACACAAGCTTTATTTTTGTTTTTGTTTTTTTTTTTCAAACCATTGCATCGAAGTTGATTGCTCAGAAAAAATGCGCTGGAAAGTTTCCTTCACCGCAAACATGAAAAAACACTTTGAGCAAGCTTCTTTTTGGAAAAAAATCTGATTGATGTTAAAATCGATCTGCACGTTCGTCGACATAATGAAAGAAAAACAGCGACCTTCGTGTATTTCTAGCGAAGCGAATCAAAGTAAACACTTCTTTGCACTCGTTTTATTGATCGCAGAACATATTTTAATTTGCGGCATCTAAGCGTAGAAACACCTCTGATTCAAAACTTACCTAAACGAACTAGGCGGTCTGTTCGATTTAGCCTTTTTTCCAAAAAGTAGCCTTTCCTTGTTCCGTGGAGTGAAAGGTCTTTGGGTTTGTAGGGGTTTAATAGGAGTCGAAATAAACGAGCTTTCCGCCATTTGGGATTCTAAAAATGCGTATATAGTTAGCAAAAATTTTGGAACTTTTAAAAAAAAAAATAATACCTCTAATGGCGAGTCGGGCTTCGTTGATGATTTCCGCACTGGTTTTTCTGGCTGGGGGCTCATAGAAAGGTAAAGACACTTTGCTTATGCCCCCTATTTTTACATCGTCACTTTTTGGGTCCATTTCTGTAGATCATGGTAAGGGAGTCGTGTTTATGGAGGGAATTCGTGCGGGGTAGCGCAAGTAGATGTTTCGTGCTGAGTTCTTGATTGCAAACTGCGACTTTTCTAGTGGAAACCGTCGACTAACGAGAATGATACGACTATTGATTATTTCATGGAATCAGAAATGTTCTAGACATGCAATGGATGGACACGGAAAAAATCAATATGGAAGAGAAAAGGCTTCATACAAACTACAAAGTGTCATTGACACTGTTTAATGACCATTTTATAACCAGAAAAGCCATTAATTTGTCAGATATGACATTAGTAGGTTACGCACGTGATCGAATTACACGTAAAAGTTGTAGCGGCTGTGACGGGGGCTATGAATCCTTACATACGGTGGTACAAAAGTTCAAAACTTTTGCTGTGTCATGTTCGGAAACGCACTCGTTTTATAAAATTTCTGCTGTTTTCTTTCATTTACGAATTTGGTTTTTGGAAATTAGTCTCGAGAATTGCACGTTTTCGTTTTGTTTTATCAATTTTTAAGAGGGTTTCCTATTTCTTTGACTGCAGATAATGACTAATAAGACTTTCTCTTTTTTTGCCACTAAAAGATGCTTCAATAGAAAACAGCCACGAATTTATGTTGTAAAAAAAATCTAGTCCCAGTTTTAAATTTCTCTTTCATACTAACTAAAAACCTCAAAAAATTAATGTATATGATTTGAAAAAAATTGAAGATTATTTAGACAGAACTTCCCTCGCTTCGGAAGTACCGTCCAACAAATCCAGCTTCAACAAATGGGAAAATTTGATTTATGATAACCCCAATAAGTTAAAAAATATAAATAATACTAGCCACAGGTCACAGTGTAAGAAAGAAAACCGTGGCCCATTGGGGGAACCGGGAACCCGCGACTTTCTCGTTATTAATACGACGGTTTATCAAGTGAGCTATTTGCCCAATGCTCTGAGTGCTTCTTATACTGTTAGTTCACTATAAAATTTTATTTTTTTTTGTAAAAACCTAGATGTCTAGGGTGTACAATTAAGGCGGATTCATAAACCACAAGCACAGGAGGATGTTATTTTATAAAATTTAAATAGTATTTACCACGCAAAATTTTGAGGTGATGTTATTAAATTGTTGGTGGGGACAATCAGACCAATTTTGGTTGGGGTTTTACCATTTAGACGATATGCAAATAAAAATTAAGTCCTCAGCATACATGCAAAAATGCAAGTGGCAAGTAGTAATATAACTGTCACTCAATACTGGTGTAACGTTCATACTTCAAGAAGGGTTGGTTTTATTTATTTTGTTTTTGAAAACAATTCTTTTTTCAATCGCAAACAACAACAAAGAGACACAAACTAAGTAAAATTGTCAACACGCCAACACGAATGCAAATGAATAAACTATTAAACTGGAAAATTCGCTTGAGGGTGTAGCGTAATATGTTACTTTGCCTGTAGTTGACCAGTCCACTGATTTTAACGCAGATTGGTCTAAAAAACTAATAAAATTTGGATAATCAAATCTGAATTCGTTACAAAGTTTGTGTAGTAACGTGACTCGTCGAAATTTATGAGGATGCTAACCTTGATTTAGGGACTGTGTTTATGATATATTTTAGTGATTAATTTCGGATTAGCATCAAATTCTTTATCATTGTTTAATTTAAATGACAACACCGAGCAACAAAAAACGATTTTGTTTGCCACAAACATTAATATAGTACCTTAAAACGAATTCATTTTTGCAATTAGAATCTATGTGGCAAATTTCTTGTTCCCCAGTGTAATCGGATGACCTCACCTCTAAAATTTACAATAACAAGTCTTATATGGTTTCATTTAAATTTTGTAAAATGGTAGGTATAACATTTTGCAATTTAACTTTGAAACTGCAAAACCGAATGCTCTGAAATCTTGCGAAGGTTTTAAGGTTATCGTAAGCATAGTAAATCGTTAATCAAAATTTACCATTGATCCCCTGCCTAAAAATTGATGTCATTTCAAAATTTTGCCGAATAAACCCTATCTAAAATATGCAAAATATTGTGAATTTATATTTGTGGTTTAATAATGCATTCATATTTTTTACTTACTACTTATACCGGGTGACTCAAAGAAATTCATATCAGGCAATTTATTTTATTGATCAAACAAAACGGCCCAGCCGATCATAGAGTTAGCGTCCAAGGGCTTTTGCGTACCTCCTGAATTGACCGATGAGTCTGAAGAAGGCGTTAGCAAACCTTCGGATAGTTTGGGATTAGGGGAAGGACAGGGTGAAAGAGATGTTTCTGATAGAATTGAGTCTGAGGACCAACTAGACGACGCGCAATCTGCCGGACAAGAAAAAGAAAAGACTGAAGATGAGGATTGTAAAGAAGAAGATAAAGGAATAGAAATGAGTGAAGACTTTGACACTAAATTGCAAAACGTTGAGCCTAAAGAAGGTGAAGATGATGAAGAAAGTCAGTCGGAATCAGATGCGGATGAACAAATGGGTGACACCGAGAAGGATGCGAACAAACAAAATAAGGAAAGTTTCGGTTCCGATAATGAAGAAGGAAATGATAATAGTGAAGAGAAAGAAGAACGTGGCGAAGGAGGCGAGAAGGATGGAGAGCAAGAATTGGGGGCTAAAGACGACGATAATAGTAAAGGTGACGATAATAAACCTGATAAAGATTCAACCGAAGAGAAAGAAGAGAATAAGAAGGAAATAAACGAAATGGAGGAACAGGAATATGATGACGAACAAACGGACCCCTATCATGAAAATCAACCGGAACTACCGGAGCCCGAAGCTATGGATTTACCCGATGACTTACAATTAGACGAAGGGCAGAAACAAGATGAAGAAAATCAAGAAGAAGATCCATTTGATATTGACACAATAAAGGAGGATAATCCATTCGAGACTAAAGATAAAGAAGACGAGCTCAAAGAAAACGAAGAAGAGGATAAGCCCGAGGACAATTACAGCAGCGATGAAGAAAACATCATTAAAACACAAAACGATGAACCTGATCAGGAAGAAAAAGAGGAAGATTCGGAAACCAAACAACCCGATGAGTTACCAGAGAAGGCACAAGAGGAAGAAAATAACGACGATAAAGGGGAACATGAAAATGAATCAGGCGTGGATCAAACCGAAACTAATGAAGATAACGTCGAAGCAATGGAAGTAGACAACGCGGAAGCTACTGACAAGGTAACGAACTAACACATTTTCAAGTCAACACCTACAAAAATATTTTTACAGACAATACCCAACCAGTCCCAAAATCAAAAAACAAATCAACCAAACGAAGAATTGTGCCAAGAAGACAAACCTGATAAAGAAGGTGTAGGACAATCACAAATGGAAGAAAGCTCAACGGGTCATACAGCTCAAACTATGGCATCTCAAAAAACACAAGGCTCAAAACGACAGAGAAACGATGAAGTTTGGGCGATATTAACGAACCCGTGAAAAAGAAAGTAAAAACTGTGGATGCAAAAGATGATGGTAATGAACATGAAGAAGGGGAAGAACTTGATCTCGATAAAAATGAAGAAGCGGAATTGTACAAACACATCAAAGAAGCTAAAGAATCATCCACATACCGATACATTCATCTTAAAAATAAAATCAAGTCAGTACAGGAACAAGCAAAAACCCAGAAATATGAAGTGCCAAATCCTGAAGACGAAGAAACAGGAGAAAACCCAACAGAATCTTCTGCGAATTTACCGGCGGAAGAAGAAGAAATGGTTGATTCCGCAGACGTAAATGTTCAAAAGTCAAAAAAAAAAACTGTATCAAAGAAGACTAAAACTGATAAAAAACAACATCCCTAAGGTGACATGCTAGAAGAGCTCTAAGACATAGAAATAGAAAGCGATGTTGTTGAAACAATTGGAGTTTCAAGAGGTACCGAAATAACCATATTTTATACGACGAACCCAGAAACATGTCAGCACTCAGGCTGACCCAAGAGGAAATTAACTCGTTACGTTCAAGTGTAGAAAAGCAGCTTTCTTCTTGGACTGAAGTACCATCGGGCATAGAAGCCGACCAAGCCTGGCAGAAAATATCTTCCCTCATGTCATCTTTAGCCCAAGATCCCTGCGAACAACTTCGACTTGTACTGGAACTGACACAATCTAGTGGTTTAAAAGGGGATTACTAAACAAAATTTTGTGATGACAACTCACTTGAAAGATACGCATAGCATGCTTCTTTACCTGTACTTCCACAGTCCACACATATCTCTATTTTTACTAAACGTTATCATAAAAAAATATATAAGTATAATCTTTCCTGGAATCTGTATTTGTTTACCTGTACCTAGTTCAGGGGCGAGGGAAGTTGTCTCAATAATTTTAGACCGATATTTTTTTAATTGATATTCACTATGTAGGTACTATTTTGGCTTCCTTTCGTCCACATAGGATATTCTGCACGTTATGTTTTAATTTTTATTCTTAAGTTGTTCTTTGTTCTGTTATATCGAGTGTCCATTAATGTTCGTGATTTTTTTGTCAGATTGACAACCTAATATTTGAAATTTTATGATGGCATACCTGATTGTCAAAGTGACATTTATGACAACTTCCATCGTCTCAAAGGGCCGTGGTCTCAATCAATCAACACGTTTGTTAAGCGTGCTCATGTCAATCTTGTGAACCAACATACTAGCACGGATGCCAATAATTCAGAATTGCCAATACAAAAATTTGTTTCGTCAATCATTATTTATTAATAGTCACCCGTACTTTCAAATTTATATTGTACAACGAGAAAGAAAATATTGCCATTACGCTTGGCGTTTGAATGTCATAATAACAAATTTGATAGTTTTAAAATATGAAAAGCTTTACTCAAAATATCACTCTTTACGCTCTTTATTATTCCAGGGGTGAGCTATAAAAAGTATCGGGTCATTTCGATTAATAAATGTTTCACTTCATGTTAATATGTATTATAAGCATGTCGGTTCCCTTGTTTCCGTCTAATTAGCCTGTTGGAGGATTTATTGACAAACGCTTATTGATGGATCTAATTTCCGCAAAATTATTTCAAATGCGTAGTATTATTATGCGTGTTACATCGTGCTTTAGCAAATGAGCATGTTTATGCGATTGAAGATATGATCGTCGTTATGAAAATTTATTTATACATTTATAAAAGTTTGTATTGAAAAATACCTTCAAAGGTACAGGTGGTATTGTCGTATATCATAAACCATATGGAATGATAAAATAACTGACAAAAGATTGTTCTACTAATACTTTGTACACACGAAATACAGATAGATAATAATGTTGTGATAGATCTGACAATCTTACGCTTAGTGATCAAAAAAGACAGGTCAATCTGCCAAGGCTAAACTTGAGAGGATCAATCACAAAATACATTATTAGTCGTTTCATTTGTTTCAGATATTTTTAATTATAAAAGATGTAAATAAGGTAATAATAATAAGTTTTTTTTAATAAGAAACAACTCATAAAAATTTTCATGTTTTAAACTTTTTACGATTAAACTTTTTAACTAGAGCATTAACCATATGCTTTAAAACGGAATTCCTTGTATGGAACAGCTATTTACTTATTACCTATTCATTTAACAAACAGGACAGTTTACTCAAAAAATTCCAAATCAATACCCTGTCCACTTTCCCTACAAACCTACATTTCATTCGTTTTATTGGTCTGACATACCTATTATCTGTTAATGTCCCCGTGCTCCAAACGACGAAATATTCAAAATTAATTAGCCGCGGAACCAATAATAATAATGTAAAGCGGCAAACCAAATGAGGTCACATCAAAATTGGGTTAACAATACTTCTTCGCTCTGTAAATATTTGATGTCATTTAAAAATCAATCAGGCAATTCGTGCGGACTAAGTCTATCAAAACACTGCGCTTCTAAAATAAACATTTTATTGAATTTATCGACATACATACATTTTAAAACACAATTGTAAAAAGATATAAACGATTCTTAAAAACTAAAATCATAACAATGTTTATTTTTAATAGCCTACTGTTTATCTAAGTTTGATACAACCTCAAACCACTGTCTTAAAGCATCACTTAAAACATTTGGCAACGAGTTTATATCCCTCAAGATAATATAAAACGAAAATGGAAACACATCCATATAACTCTGTATTCCTAAGAGCTTTCCATCCTTGAAAGTCGGCATTCGAATATCCAAAATAGAGTTCTTGTTTTCGGGATTATCAATTATAACAAAGACCATAAATATGTTTGATAACTTCGCCCTCCTAACAGCTTGTCTGACAACACCCTCACCCTCCGAGAACACTCCCCTACCGTCACTAACTATAATTAATAGCTTGGCATTCAAAGCGGAAGAATGCATTTGGGACTGCGCGAACATTTCTGTAACAAAATCGACTAACTTCGCTACGCACGTTTTGTTTTGATCAAACTTAAACTTCTGCAACAATTTAACGCCACTTTTGTCGGTAAACTGATCGGTCAGTTTATGCAGAATCTCAGTATTTTCGCCAAAACTGACAACCGAGAGTTGACCACTTTCCAACAACGAGAGTGCTTTGGAAGTTAGAGCAACACTTTCAAATGCAAGTTCCTTGGAGTGATTATCGGCCATTGAGGACGAATCATCGATGGCAAGGACTATTTGGTACTCTCGTTTTGAGGGTTTGGTGCGCCGTAGCCAGATTTTGTCCTTTCGAAATTGTGACGCAATGTATGGAATGACTTTTCGCATGTTGATGCGACGACCTGTTCGGTAATCCCCTTTTAAACGACTGGATTGTGTCGGTTCCAGTACAAGTCGAAGTTGTTCGGAGAGATCTTGGGCTAAAGATGACATGAGGGAAGATATTTTCTGCCAAGCTTGGTCGGCTTCCATGTCCGATGGTACTTCGCTCCAAGAAGAAAGCTGATTTTCTACATTTGAACGTAACGAGTTCATTTCTTCTTGGGTCAGCCTGAGTGCTGACATGTTTCTGAGTTCGTCGTATAAAGTGTGGTATGTTGTGTCGGTACCTCTTGGAACTCCCATTGTTTCAACAACATCGCCTTCTATTTCTATGTCTTGGAGTTCTTCTAGTATGTCACCTTCGGGATGTTGTTTTTTATCAATTTTAGTCTTCTTTGATTCGGTTTTTTCTGGTTTTTGACTATTTGCGTCTGCGGAATCAAGTATGTCTTCTTCTTCTTCCGCTGGTAAATTCTCAGAAGATTCTGTTGGGTCTTCTCCGGTTTCTTCTTCTTCAGGATTTGGCACTTCGTATTTCTGGGTTTCTGCTTGTTCCTTTGTAGCCACATCCAAGACCTTTAAACACGTACTGATTTGATTGTATTTTTGAGATGAATACGTACCTGCGTGGACGATTCTTTAGCTTCTTTGATATGTTTGTACATTTCTGCTTCTTCACTTTTCTCTGGATCAAGTTCTTCCCCTTCATCTTCGTTACCATCGTCTTTTGCATCCACAGTTTTTAGTTTCTTTTTCACAGGTTCGTTAATATCGCCCAAACTTCGTTGAATATCTGATTCTCCAGGTTTTTGTTGTTTTTTAAGCTCATCGTCTCTCTGTCGTTTTGAACCTTGTGTTTCTTGAGGTGCCGTAGTTTGAGCTGTATGACCCGTTGAACTTTCTTCCATTTGTGATTGTCCTACACCTTCTTTATCAGGTTTGTCTTCTTGGCACAATTCTTCGTTTGGTTGATTTGTTTTTTGATTTTGGGACTGCTTGGGGATTGTCTGTAAAAATATTTTTGTAGGTGTTGACTTGAAAATGTGTTAGTTCGTTACCTTGTCAGTAGCTTCCGCGTTGTCTACTTCCATTGCTTCGACGTTATCTTCATTAGTTTCGGTTTGATCCATCCCTGATTCATTTTCTTGATCCCCTTTATCGTCGTTATTTTCTTCCTCTTGTGCCTTCTCTGGTAACTCATCGGGTTGTTTGGTTTCCGAATCTTCCTCTTTTTCTTCATGATCAAGTTCATCGTTTTGTGTTTTAATGATGTCTTCGTCATCGCTGCTGTAATTGTCCTCGGGCTTATCCTCTTCTTCGTTTTCTTTGTGCTCGTCTTCTTTATCTTTAGTCTCGAATGGATTATCCTCCTTCATTGTGTCAATATCAAACGGATTTTCTTCTTGATTGTCTTCATCTTGTTCCTGCCCTTCGTCTAATTGTAAGTCATCGGGTAAATCCATAGCTTCGGGCTCCGGTAGTTCTGGTTGATTTCCATGATAGGGGTCTGTTTGTTCGTCATCATATTCCGGTTCCTCCATTTCGTTTATTTCCTTCTTATTCTCTTCTTTCTCTTCGGTTGAATCTTTATCAGGTTTATTATCGTCACCTTTACTCTTATCGTCGTCTTTAGCCCCCAATTCTTGATCTCCATCCTTCTCACCTCCTTCGCCACGTTCTTCTTTCTCTTCACTATTATCATTTCCTTCTTCATTATCCGAACCGAAAGTTTCCTTATCTTGTTTGTTCGCATCCTTCTCGGTGTCACCCATTTGTTCATCCGCGTCTGATTCCGACTGACTTTCTTCATCATCTTCACCTTCTTTAGGCTTAACGTCTTGCAATTTGCTGTCAAAGTCTTCACTCATTTCTATTCCTTTATCTTCTTCTTTACAATCCTCATCTTCAGTCTTTTCTTTTTCTTGTCCGGCAGGTTGCGCGTCGTCTAGTTGATCCTCAGACTCAATTCTATCAGAAACATCTCTTTCACCCTGTCCTTCCCCTAATCCCAAACCGTCCGAAGGTTTGCTAACGCCTTCCTCAGACTCATCGGTCAATTCAGGAGGTACGCAAAAGCCCTTGGACGCTAATTCAATGAAGATATTAAGAAGAACCGAATTCATTTTGCAGATAACCCTATATGCGGACACTTGCTGCGTTAAGAAATACTGGTGGTAGAGAATGATTTGTTCCAATAAAGGCAACACGTACGAAATTAATGTTTTATGTTCATCCAAGTATTCTGAAGGAACGGCGAAAAAGTGTTGCGCCACTTCGTGACATAAATTCAATATATTGCCGAAACATAAATCCCTGAAATCATTTTCTAGATTCTCCACGATTAAAACTCTTAAATGTTCTTCTTCTATTTGTGTTTGTTGAGTGTCCTCTTGGGAAATCTCGTCGATTTGAGCCGAATACTTTTTGTGAACGTTATGAATCACGCGCGATATTTCGTCAGACAAGTTATTAACGATTTTTTCTAGCGTAGCAAGAGAAGTCTTGCTATTGAACTCTATTTGAATGCTTTCATACAGAGTTTTTGTTAATTCGTTAAGTTCAGAATGTAGCCATGAGATACTTCTGGTCGTTTTAGTGTCGCTAAAAATAGAATTAAGTTGTTGTAAGTTCGTTTGAATGCTATTTAGCTTAGTTTCAAGGGATTCCAAATCGGAAATGGGGATATAGGTTAAATCGGCTAAGTTAAAATCGGTATGAGGGATTCCCCCTTTACTTTTCTCTAACTCGTGGTTAATCCTATTTGCCAAATTCAATATGTCGGTCATTATACTATTCGTGTTGTTCCAAATTTGGTCGCGTTTGTATTGAATGAAATCTTGAGGTTCCGGTTTTAAAATAATAATGTCACATGTTTCGGAACTGGTGAAGTCCTCTTCCGGACTTGTATTTAAAATAATCTTGGCCTGATTCATGACAATCGTGATGTTTTTCATTGCCTTTTGGATCTTTTCAGCTGTTTTTATATGTAAGAACTGTTTCCCTTCACATAGTTTCGTCATTTGGGTCGTGTAATGTCGCAAATAGTAAAATAGAGTGCTGCTTTCAGTGAGTTGAGATTTATGCTTTTGAGCAAGCGTCTGTCGGAAGAAAATTTGCGTTATTGATTGTCCTTGCAGTTTCCCGTATAAAGTTCATAATAAGGTGATGTAGGTGGCGTAAGAGGGCACTTACCAGCAAGTTCGATGAAAATCCTCGACATCTCTCTATGTTTTGTTGGCCTAAATCCTGTGCCGGAGTTTTCAAAGCCGTATCTAAAACATCCGCTCTCATCAAAGATTTTAAGTGATACATCTCGCAGCTGTCCCAAATGGTTAGAATTTTTTCGTCCTTCCGGCTGCAATAATTCACACTTTAATCGCAACCTCACCAATTAGCAAAATAATTACTTATAGTTGATGTGGCTGAAGTTGGCACTGATGTCCACTGGCTTCAATAGGAAGTCCTCCGCTGCTATTTTTAACCTGGCCTCGATGATTCCGGAGCGGAATGAAAGACCCATTTTCGACAAAGTCTTAAACAAGTCTGCCAAAGCCCTATGTTTTTGATTTAATATGCTCTTGGCTAACGACTTTTGTTTGGCTTTGGGTAAACTCGTGTCCACCTAATATTAAAATGAGTTTTTTACGAACTTTAGTTGCTTGAGTGTTATTGATTTACCTCCAGAGCTTGCAGATGAGCGCTAGTCTCGATTATTTGCGTCACTAAATTGTCTAAAGTTTGTATCATCTTGGGATATTTCATCGCCGAAATCGAATCTTTACACAACTTGCGCACTTCGGTAAAATATGAGTCTATTTTGTTTAAAACTTTCTGATGACTACTCTTTGAACTTGGGGAGCTTAATTTCTACAAGTTACCAAAGTTGAGCCGAGATTTGTGGAATGTTTTCCGCAACTTACCTTTTTGAGTGACTCCTTGGCAACGTATGTTGTTGGGTCTAAAGTGTAATGATATGTCTTCACCACATTCCTCTGCGGTCTGTCCCAAATTCCGACGTTTTCAATTTTGGCGGAAGTGTTCGTGTTGACCAAGTACGTGGACACTGGTTGATTTAGTACGTCCTAATAAAATATGCAAAATGCTAGTCACGTATAATAAGGGAATTTTACTTAATTTTTATGAATTATTACTACACAAAAATGTGAATTATACGGTCGAGTGCTGTTCTTGGCCTGGGAATTTCTCCAACACTAAGAAATATTTGATGCTGTGATTTTTCAACTCTTATCTTGATATAATGACAAAAAATATCTCGTTTTGCATAACATACAAAAAACAATGTAAACTTTAAACAATTAATAAAACAACAATTTTCGCCTTGTTTCAATGTTGTGAAAAGGCAAAAAATTCAAAAACGACTTGAATTACATACTGATCGTTGAAAGATAATTTTAATAGCTTAATAATAAGTTTAATAAAAAACTTGTAGTCGATTATTTTAGTATAAAAGGGAAGACGAATATATAAAGTTGAAAAAATACAAAGACTCTCAACCGAAGCGCTAATGGATAAAAATAATTTTTATTTTATTCTAAAAGTAATTGTTTGTATTTTTAATTGGTTATGGAGTCATAAGTCATGACTGTTATAAGTGCAATGCTAAAAAGACAAAATTAATAGACTTATTTATTATAATTCAAAAATAGTATCGGATATAATTAGTTAAAATTCTGAGAACAATTCGGTAAAAATGTTTTGTATACTTTAAAGAAAAAAAAAAGGTCTTATGTAGCTATGAAGAGATTATTAAATATTTATTATATGCAGGAAATGTTAATAAAACGTTTTTATAGTTAGATGTAAGGTGATCGTAAAAAATCTTATATTAACTAAGTTTTGGAAAATCTGTCACTGCGTTTTTAGGAATGTGCCATTTGCTTGAGATAGGTGCTATTTCTAAACCAAGATAAATTACTGACATTTGTTCACGAAATTTCAAAGCCAACTTGATGCATGATCACTTTGTGTAACATATGGATCCAAGGATTCATGTTTCTTAGTTTACTTAAATATCTTAAACAACATTACTAGGTTTTCTGTATTTTTTTGTTTGTTTATATTTTCAAGACCAACATGATGGCAATAAGATTAGTCAAATGATGAACATTTTAATAGCTTCTTTTTCACTAAACTTTTTAAGCCGAAAGGTTTTCCAGATTAAAATTAACAGTAAAAATGCAGTACAGAAATCCAAGAAAAGTCGTGAAAGTGTCGTTAAAATAAGTGTCCTTTTAGTGGATCTATTCAACTTGAGTAATTATAATGGTGAACAAATCGACCGTAATTTTCGAGTCGAAACAGTTTGTTGCCAACTATGAGGAAATTAACCAAAAAAAAAAAAAAACGAAACTGTCAGCTATTTGATAACAAAATCAATAATGGAAATTTACAGTCGCTGGGAATATGTTGCGTGCTGTTCACTTAAGCTGTTTTGTTTTAAAAACTTCGTTTTTTGTTTTGCTTAAAGGGTTTTTCTCGTATTTTACATTTTAAGATGCTTTTATTTATTTTTACTTTCCTACCATAAGGCTAAGGAAGTAGTGTATAGGGTTCATCGGGCGAATAGCTACTTTCATGTTTTCTCGACGTTTCATGACCCCAAGAGTACGAACAAATCGGTCTCCCGTTTCTGTCTGTCTGTCTGTCGTCTGTCCAGATTTTCATTAGACAGATAATCTAATGTCTGTTGGTTATTTGCTTTAAATAGATTTCACATTGTCCGTGTCTGTACGGTATTATTTACGCTACTGTCTAGCATGCTTCTTTACGTGTGGTTTAATAGTTCACACATATTTTTATTTTAAGGTATCGAGGTTATATTAAGAAATAAAATCGTAAAATAAAATTTTATAATTTTTCGAAAACGGCTGTACGTCTGTCTAAGTAAGCTTAGACCAATTTTTTAACATATGTTTAGATACACTCGTATTTTCGTTGTTATATAACTTAAAAGTTATCCTATATTAATATTGCACAATTTTTATTTTAGAACAAATTAATGACCTCAGTAAGAAGGTCAAGAAAAAAACTGCTTTTTTTGTCTTCTTTATACCGAGAGAGCAATAACAAATATTGATCACAGGCGGCGATGGAATTCAAGCATTTGTCTTCGACACAATTTTCGTCGTGTTCAGATTACCGCCACTTTCAAATGAGTTAAAATGCATAATTCAAACACAAATCAAAGAATATTAACAATATTTATAACATTAAAAAAATATATTCTTTTTCTTCGATCATGTGGTATACTAAAACTTTATTGCTGTTTTGTTTTAAAAAACTTCGTTTATTTTTTGTTTGTAGAGTTTTTCTGATATTTTACATTTTAAGGATAATTTATTTATTTTGGATATATACTTGGTTGCATTAAAAACGGGACAAGGACATATGTTTAACAGTCATTTTATTATTTATTTTTCATCGGCCTGTCCGAATTACGGTGCATTTCTAATCCGCGACCGAACTGCGGTACAAATTCTTAGTTAGGGATTAAGGTGTCTTGCTTTAATCAGGTACTGATATGATGAAAACAGTTATTTAATATCCAAAATTGGTAAATAAGAAGTTAATAAAAATTTATAAATAACATGAACACACTAAATCTATTTTCAAATTTACTGCCAGTAAATACATAATCATACATACATTTTCATAAATTGTAGTGATGGTAGATGTCGTCATTCATATTGTTTCCAAAGATATAATTCCTGAAATTGTTCATTGAAGCTACCATAACTCTTTGAGGCAACAGAATATATTGTATTACATAACTATAAGATACACACAAAAGTTTCATTTTTATATTGTACAATTTTAGATTCTATGAACATCTGCAAATCACATCGTTTTTTGTTTTTATCTAAAAATTTCACTTTATTCTTTGCGTCTAAAAAGGATTTGGTTTTCTTAAAGATTTAAATTTATAGCACTAATAAATGATGTTTCTATTCTTCGTCGAATTCAAGTAATTGCTTTAAGAAAAATGCCAAAACCCTCTGAACCTCGACAGTTCGAGAACGAGCTTCAATTCGGTCAGAAGTCTCGATTGATATTTGAGCAAAATTTGCACCCCAATTCGGATACGACCATTTTTCATAGCGTGAATATGAAATATCTCAATTCTTGTCCCGTTTTTAATGCAACCAACTGTAGTTTCTTTGCTGTAATAACTTAGAAGCCATCTAAGTTCGAGATTACTCATTTTCGTTTGAGAACACTTCAATTACATACTTCAGCACGAAAGCCCAGAAAATTGAAATTTTCTTTCTTTATTTTAATTTTTGTTATCATCTTTATTACAATATTAAAATGTGCCTAGGGTACTGATGATTAGTAATTAGAAAAATTTCAACAAGACATTAAAATAAAACTTGTTATTTAAAGAGAATTTCCCTCGCCCCTGAAGCACAATTGAACGAGTCAAATTTCTTAGATAAATTATTATAGAATTTACGAATATTATTTTCTTATAACACTTTCCACAGGTTCAAATAAAAATAGCACCGTAGTATAGGTATTATAATTAATAATTATGTTTGTTTTCTATTTCTTGTCGTACTTTGTCTTTTTTTTCGTCTTTTTTCCTTACTGTTTTTAGTGCCTTCTTTTCGCATTTTTTGACCAATTTTTTTAAAGCTGTTTTCGTATGTTTTTTTTGTCACCTTTGTTTATGGCAATTTTGTCGCTTTTTTTAGTTACCTTCTTTTGGCATTTTTAAACCTATTTTTTAATTTTTTTATAACCTATTTTTGTCCCCCTTTTTGATCCCTTTTGTTGCCTTTTTTATCATCATCTTACTGCCTGATTGTAAGCTAAAAAAGTATAGTAATCGAGTCCATCGGGCGACTTTGTTTTCGATTTTACATTTTTTTGATTCCACAATTTTTCGTGTTTTTCACTTTTTCAATTTTTCAGTTTCTTGAGTTCCAAATTTTTCTATTTTTCGAAATGTATTACAGTTTTTCATTTTTCAAGTTCTTGATTTTTATTTGTCATTTCACAATTTTTTTCGATGTTTTTTTCGATTTTTATAATTTTTTGTTTATTCAATTTTTCAAAATTTCAGTTTTTGATTTTTAAATTCAGTCTTGATTTTTCAATTTTACAATTTTGCCATTTTTCCATTTTTTTTATTCAAAAAGTTGAAAAATCGAAAAAAAAAATGAATCGAAAAATTGGAAAGAAGGAAAAACGAATCGAATCAAAAAATTGGAAAGCCCAAAAACTGTTAAGATGGAAAAATTATAGAAAAGTCAAAATTGTAAAGTCGAAAAACTATAACAATGAAAGCTCGACAAATTGAAAAATAGAATAAATCAAAAAGTTTTAAAATCCAATAATTGAAAAATGGTATAATTCTAAAATCGCAACAATGAAAAAGTGAACAATTTTTAAATTAAAATAATTACATATTTAAACAAACGAAAACTAAAAAGATTGCAAATCAAAAATTGAAGAAATGAAAAATTGAGAAAATGAACAATCTAAGAATGAAAATACGAAAAATTTAAAAATCTAACACTGAAAAACCGAAAAACTGAAAACCGAAACTTGAAAATTCCGAAAATTGAAATATTTCACATTAAAAAAAGAAAAATGATAGAATCAGAACACTGAAATGCGAAAAATAAAGAAAATAAAAAATAGAAAAATGGAAAAAAGAAAAATTGAAAACCTGTGAAATTACTAAATGAAAAATTGCAAAATCTAAAGATTGAAACAATTCTTCATATCTCAAATGGGATTTATAGTTTGCAAAATTTTGAGATGACGTCATGAAGTTTATGGAAGGGATGATCAAATAAAGTATCATTAGCCCTTCATCTTTTTAACCTCAACCTTAAACCGTTCATAAAACCTCAGCGCAATTGGTAATGTGGTTTCTAAAATAAATTGTGGTTTTCGTTTATTCTATTGTTATTTTTTTTTAAATTACATGCTCAATGATTATAAATGCGCACGTCATTTTTAAGTCAAAGTTAAAATTTCAGAGATTAGGTACTTCCTTGAAAATCGCCGACATGGAAAAGGAGATCTACTTTTTCACATTTTAGGAGCCACGAAAAATCAGGAAAACATGAAATTAACAAGTTGTCAAATGGTCTATATTACAATATTTCCTTACACCCGGGAACAAATAATAATAAGAATATTACTAACACTAATTTAACTTGCCAGCTACATAACTAATGTACGAATAATATTAATTTTTTTTAAGACTTAGATTGTTTGGTTTCACTATTTTGAAGAAATCTGCAGGAAAAAATTTACTTAGCAAAATTTTGATGCCAAAACATTTGGAACCTTTTTTTCTTGCTTAGTAAAAAAATGCAAATTGTCGGTTTTCGCCTGTTTAATGACATTAGGCAGAATTAGACATATTTGAAAATCATCAAACCTATTACTTTAAAATTCTCAGAGTACAAATAATGCGATTATCGACAACATGGTGAAACGCCAAACAAAAGTTATCTCATATTTTTTTTGAAAACATTTATAACGCTACCTCATAATTTTAAAAGTGGAAATGTGCAGTATAAAATGCTTCTTTATCTCTGTTTTGACAATCCAGTTATTTTAACTTTATGGACGTTCCGTTTTTTATAAATATAAATACATATACATATGAGGTTTTTGCTAACTTTTATAAACCGATTTAATTCATTTCAACTATTATTATTATTATTATTCACTATCTTTGTAATTTGCATCCTTAATAAATCGTTTCAAGTTATCTTAAACTTCTGTTCACTGTGTTGAACTTGTGTGTTTGACAAATAAGACTAAAACATCATCCGCCAGAAGCATTAGAACGATCATTCGGTGCAACGACGCTAACACAAATACGTTATAGTCCCTGTAATACCGGAAATTTCCACAAACTGTCGACGCGTTTCAGCAGCTACGTTCGGACTAAATAGTTTAAGCGGGAAGATGATAGCGTAGCTGTTGAAGCGCGCCGACAGTTTGCTGAAACTTTCAGTGTAGCGAGGATAATAGATGTTTGTCATGATGTATTCTACAAGTAAAATGAGCAAAAAAAAAGGGTTTTCACTTACCCTAAATTCTCGGACATATTTGTGAAGAGTCTTGTGCGACTTATCCACCGTTTCTTTAATCGCCCAGTAATTAACATCCTTCCACCTGACAATTTTCACATAATCCTTTAACTTCTTCTCGATCGGAGCTCTCAGATCCTTGATTTTATTAGCAACAGTTAAGCTAAATTGCTGAAAATAACTATAAACGTTCCACAATATGCAGATGAAAGCCGTAGATTTTTCTGTTTGTTTTAAATGTACAGCATGGCAATGGAACGCGTGTAGCAAATTCAATCTATTCTGGAATTCGGCCAAATTTGACTTCGTGACATAATTCTGAAGTGCTTCTATTAATTCAGTATCAGTAAATTTTTCTTCAATGGTAAATTGTTCCATTATGTTGAATAAGTAAATCCACCATTTGTATGTGGGATCGTTCATTCTGGTGAACGTACTGTTTAGTAAATCTTTCCAAACGTTTAGTTCCATTTTCCTCCACGCGATAATTTGTTGAGTGATAGTTTGGGAGAATTGGCTTAAACTAACACCTGAATGAGCCACTTCTTCCCATTCGTGGCATTTACTTAAGAGGATTTCGAAACCGGTTAAGAATCTTGACAAGGGGCTCGTGATGTCGAAATTATAAACTCTTTCGACGATAACCATAATCTAGAAATAAAATAAATTAATTTTTAACCGCAGTTGCTAGACGTTTTTAAATACCGTTTTGAGTGTTGGATGGTCTGGCCACTCATCCAACAGTTCCTGAACACGCGATCTCAGTTCCTCCAGAATATGGAAAGAACTTTTAACTTCTTCGACATTCGAGTCTTTGTAAAAGTCTGTCCGTTTGTTATGTAGAATTTTTATAGGGGAAGGATACTCGGCTGAAAAGTTAAGATCGTTGCTAATTTATTAAGGGGGAGTAGAGAGAATGCTCACCTAAATTATTCGTATCTCCGTAATTCTGTACGAAGGCAAGTAAGACGCTTATACTCTCTATTAATTCTTTATCCATTCGGTAATCCAAGTAGGGTAAAACCTTACTGCAAATTTGTTTAAATAATTTGTACTTCTCAACTACAGGATGAATGAAATTCGGCACGGCACATTTATTTTTATCCGGATTTAACCACTCCGTTTTGGTGAAACTCTGGACTAGCATTACATGCAAGTCAACAACGAATTTGATATCATCGTTTGAAATTACCCCGGCGAATTTGTTATCGCGGGATGTAGGTGTAGGATCATCCGCTAAATTAGCGGCTTTTCGCATATCTGCAAAATCTTGGTCGTGGTAGTTTGGGAATAGTTCTTTCAATTCGTCTTCGATCTGTTCGGCTTCGGTTTTGTCGTCGCATTTCGTCCTATCGCATAATCATAAAATCAGGTTAAATGAACTGACGATGTAGAATAAAAGTAATTACCTGGTTCTGTATAAGGCATCGGCTTCTTGTTCTACACGTTCGCGATTCTTTTCTTGTTCGTTCCATGAAGTTACGAAAGCTTTGATAAAATTTTCGAAATGTGAAAAATTTAATATCCCCGCTGAGTTTGCCTCTATCACGCAGTTATTAAAACTTTCCTGAAGTCCGCATTTCAGCAATCTGAAATACGTTAAGGGGAGTCGTAAAATCTCATTTTTATTAGCCAATATGAGTTATGTTTGTTCTTCTTTTATTTGAAATGCATATTTAGTTACGTAACACGTAGTATATTTGTTTTTAATTTATTTCTTTAACTTCGGGGAATTGTGGGAGTACATTTTTCTCAAATGATTTTAAAATATTGCGAAAGTTAATAAAATACATTTCGACAAAGAAAAAGCGCAGAAACTGACTTCACTCAATTGAACATTTCTTAATTTTTTATAAATAGAATTTTACAAAAGTATGAATTGTTTTTATGTGAACTATTTTAGCAGTTTTGCTTAGTTTTATCCTGAAAAAACTTCAATTTGTCAAAAACCAGTATTCTAAATATCTCTTTAGTTGCAAAATCCTCATTTCTCTACAAGAAATTATCATATGAAATATGTGTTTACATCAATATTTCTCTGAAATGTTCTACCGTTTTAAAAAAATTTCATATGGCAATATCTTGTAGAGAAATCAGGATATTGCAAACTAAACTTCGCCCTTCAGCATTCATCACAATTGAGAAGGGGTGGGTGGGCGGGGCTTATATTTTGTCCATTTGTTCTTAATATACGAAGTCTTCTTTTCCCAACAAGAAACTGAAAACATGTTTAACTTTCCTGTTGTTGAAAAAACTCTATATATTAAAAAAAAATTAAGCCCCACCCACCCGCCCCGATCTCGATTGTGATGACTTTTTCATTCCTATCAGACCGAAGGGCGAAGTTTCATTGCAAAATCCTCATTTTTCTACAAGAAATTATCATATGAAATATGTTTTTACATCAATATTTTTCTAAAATAGTTTTGAAGATTTCATAGTGGCGATCGACAACACTTTGATTTAAAGTAGGCTGTATTAAAGCAATAAGTAATTTGGTAACACTGGTTGTTAAATGGCAAAATGTTAACCTCCAAAGTGTCTTGGACACTATGGGGCTGTCAGCCAAAGGTTACGTTTAATAATATTGCCCAATCATAACTATGGATTCCGTCCGTCTGCTTAATTATTAAAAATATAAAAAAAGTCTGTGACTAAAGTTGTACAGTTGAGGACCACATACCAAAATTATTTTCAGCAACACATACACAGCGTTCTGTTTTTAAGTCGTAATACACAATTTAGTTTTTTTCAAATGGAATACACTATACATTTATTTTTATATATTCTGATGGACTTCTTCTTATGCTTCATAATCATAATTCACTTTTGAAATTTCACTGCAATGTTGCCAAGTTATTCCAATTTTATTGAAATTTTTTGGCAATGAAAAGGTTCACAAAAAAATGGCAGTAAGGTTATTTTTAAAATGTACGCTACAACATTTTGTGGAGAAATAAATAAATGTACGTGTTTTATTGTGGTATAAATATAATTTCGCTTTAATATACAAGCTGTTCATAAAAAAATTAAACTTTAATATGATGTATATTTCAGATCAAAAAGAGCAGCCTGTACTTTATTTACTGCATCGTGTTTTGTTTTTTTGTTCTGTTTCTTTTTTTCTTAAGCATTTTCTTTAAAGTTGAGAGCTATTGAGATTTTCTATTTTTTTAAGGGACACACCGATATCCGGGTGTCTGGAAAATGGCGGATTAACTCTTTATGATGTAGATTACGAAAAAATGCAAGTTTATAACAGTAAAATTGGCAATACTGCACGCACCTAATGCGTGAATACCTTCAGCTTACTTTTTGATTTCTTAGTAACGATAGTGACTAAAATCCACCTATTTTTTTAACGACAATAACCATAACAACCAGTAGTCATTAATCGTGCAGTATGATTAAATTATAACCAACTAAACACTAGAGAAGATGTTCAAAATTCCTGCCTTGTGCATATAAGTAAGCTCGTAATGTTTCCAAATTTTGATCATTTTTTGTAAAAGTTTGTCATCAGTATTTGCTAAGATAAAACTGATTTTGACAATGACATACCCTCTAAGAAAATAGAGGGTGGGTGGGCGGGGCTAGTAGCTGATAACTTAAAATTGATTTTGGCTAATGACATCCTCTCTAAGAAAAGAGAGGGTGAGTGGGCGGGACTAGTACCAGCTAAGATAAGACTGATTTTGGCAAATGAGATACTCTCTAACAAAAGAGAGGGCGGGTGGGCGAGGCTAGTACCTGCTAAAATAAGAGTAAAATGTAGTAATAAAATATAAGGTGTGTTAATGATTAAGTCCTATTTTCCAAATGGACAGACGGTAAACCATGCGTGGGAATACTCGATTCGGTTGTTTGGCATGAATTCCGAGAACAATTTCCCAACAACATCGTCCACTATGTTCATTTTTGTATTATAATGTGTGTGACAACGTTCCGAGAAACCTACTCTCTACAATGAAAAGAAGGAAGTCACAAGTCGAAAGATAACAGAATTCCGGAGCAGACTCCTATAACATCCATACAACATTTAGTGCAGCATTACATTACATAAAGATTTTTCAGCTACGGTTGACTATTGTCAGCGGACTTTGCACAAATTTGGTGGTAAACTGTTTTTTGAATGGCAACATATATTAATTTTCAAAATTTGAGAAAATAGAGTACCGAAAATCCACATGTTTATGTTGAGACTTTCCTTCATTCTTAAAAAATTGGTGTTTGGGGTGCAATTAGTCAATGACGGATTGTATAGTAAACTCAGTTGACTTGTATTTGGTGAAACTCTACATCCTCATTAACGGACCAAAAATAACCTAATCTTTATTGGATATCAGCAAGAAATTTTGGCAGGTTTTATATCACAATTTCATGTCGATAAAATGGAAATAGGATATTTAGTCGAAATGCAGAGATTTTCTGGTCCCTGACATCTTCTAATCTTACTCATGCAAACTTTTGTGTGACCTTATTAAAAAAAAATTAGTTTAATAAATAAGTCAGTCCGGTGTACAACATAGTAATAGTAACAATTTTTTAAAAAAACCATATTTGAGTTTCGCTTAAGAGTAATATACACGATGAGTCACTAAGAAAGAAAAGAAGAAAAAAAAAAGTCACAGATGAAAGTTGTACGAAAACCTGAGGACAATAATCTAAACTCTTTTTTAATTAAACAGATTTTTCTGTTTTTTAGTTTTTTTTTAAATGAAACACTATATATTTTTACATATTCTAATTAGCCCCTTCCTAGGTTTTATAAATAAAGTCTATTTTTGAAACTCCATTGTGACGTCACGTTATATATTGTTCATAAAAAATTCCAAAACTTTACAATTTTCAAATAACTATTTAATTTTTTTCAAATAGAACACCCTGTATAACCATATCTTACTCTATTTTTGTTTCTTCTAATATGTCGATATGTCTCTTAAAAAAGTTGAATAGAACAAAAAAGAGAGACAACAAAAAAACAGAATAAGATGCAGTAATAAAATACAGGTGTTCTATTTGAAAAAACTGAAATATTCGAAAATTGTAATTCATTTTTTTGTCAATGGGCGTAAGTAAAGTATAGTAATCAAGTCTCTGTAGATGAATTTTTTTTATTTATCCCACAATAAAACGCGTATCTTTACATATTTCGTCACAAAATATTGTAATATAGATTTTAAAAATAAACAACCATAATCAACCATTGCGATTTTTGTGTGAAATCTTCCATTGCTAAAAAAATTCGAAAAAGTAAGAATAACGTGGCAACGTCGAAGCGGAATTTCAAAAATATACCACGTGTTTCTTTTATTTGATACAACCCCCTTAATTTTTTTATTTTAAAAAATAAACATATAGTTCCAGACCAAATTTGTACCATTTTAAAACATCACCTATGTGAATAAATGACGTGAGTGTCAATTTTTCAAGCTACTAGATTGTCATCAATTAATATGAATTTTTCGTCTATTTTATTTAATAATTTTTTAAGTATTGATTTTAGAAATATTGGTTGCCTTTGATTTTTAGAAAAAATCAGTCTTTCCATTTATGAAAAAATATACCTAGTGTTCCATAAAAAAAAATTAAGTTGATGTCATTTCCGGTTCTACCGGAAGTGATAATATAAATGTGAGGTTGCCATCACATAGATCTTTTAAAATGATACATTTGCTCAAAGAACTACAGGTTTATCTTTAAGAATAAAAAAGTTACAGGGGTTGTATCAAATAAAAGAAACAGCCTGTACTATATGCTTGTAATGCCTAAGAAGAGTCAATCAAAATATCTAAAAATACATATGGACTTCTTAAAAAAAACTGAGTTGTGTGCTACGTCGTAAAAACTGAACACTCTGTATAGTTAAAAAAAACTTTGAGAGTATATTGCCCAAAGAACCGTACAACTTTGGTATTGGTCTTTTTTTCAGTTCCTAATATGTAATTAATGAGAACACACGCTTAGCGACTCACCCTGTAGAAACCCAAAATATAGTGGCGGTCAAAATAAAATAGGACACTTTTCTTTCCCCAGTGTAAATTTCAAATTTGTATTGACGTTTAAATGTCATTGTGAATAAATATCTATTCAAGTGAGTCCAGTTTACACAACTAAATTTCTTCAAAGAATCCTTTCAAGAGGTCCTACTTTATTTTGGCCGCCATTGTATCTACGCAGTGAGATAGAACGGAAAAATTTTACTCTAGCATTCTACAAATGACATCAAACTGGAAACACTAGAGTAAGAACAAGTTAAACCAAGATATGTTGTTAACTATTTTTATTTTCTTATTTGTAGAAAAACTGTTTGCTTATTAGTTAAATTACTAAACTTACTCTGGAAAAATATAGAACTACTAGTTTGATTTGTGTAGGAATCATTTGATCATCAGTTATTACGGGTTTAGAAAAAAAATTACCGAGACTTACCTTATTGTTCAATTATAACAATATTTTGGCGACAAGAATAAATGGGGTTGAATTTCAACAAGCAATCTCGCAACTTGTGAAAATAATGTCAACATGCGCAAGCAAAGGCTCAACAAAAACTTCTAGATGTTGGACGGTAAAACGAAGATCATCACCAAAAATTTTACAATGTCGGAGACCAAAAACCCAGAGGACTCCTCTGATGATATTGAATAGTTTTTGAATAGTTAGAATCAACCCGTACACAGAATGTTGCCTGATCGTATAAAGATTTGATAGTGCGAATAATTTGGGAATTTATACCAATTTCGCTCTTTTGAAGTCGAAAAAAACCACAAAGAGCGTCCGATCTTTCAGGCGTTACTGTAAAAACATTATCTTCCCAGTTTGGTCCCTCCCTAATCTAGATTGTCACTTGGCAATATTGAATAAAAATCACCCAATAACGTTATTTTTTTTTGCGTCCCATTGTGTACCGTAAAACTTCATAATTGTAAGTTATACAAACTATATTAATTCTAAGTGAAAACATATTATTATTCGAATATCCAGTTGAACCATGTTGCCTTACATACCTACTATTGGGTTGAACTAATGTTTTTTACAATTTATGACAGGACATACAAAATTTATCACCCTGTATATGGTGCTTGGTTGTTTTTAAATACAAAAATTTGCGAGTGCGTGTATGTGTAACTACGTATATACATATAGTTCATAATTGCTCTATAAATATTTTTAAGTTCTAATCAATAAAATGGACGCAAATTAACATTTTTCTATTTAAATTCTTTGAACACTGTACATACCTACACATAATATACGCAAACACCGCAATTTAGCTCTCAAATAGACGTGGGAATGTCGTAGAATTTTAATTTAAACGAAAATGGAAATTTGGGGTGAGTTTCATCGTCAGTGCTGCCAATCGCCTGTCACTGTTTAAAAAGTGTTGCAATGTATTTTCGCATTTCACAACATACAAAGTAGCTTTTTTACTGGGAATTACAATTGGTTTGTTGTGTCATTGCAGTAAAATGAACTCAACTTTTTTTTAGTTAAGCTTACGTCCGTTGCCGACAAGTTCATTTGTTTTAACCTCCATTAACAGTAATTATGACTTACCTCAAAATCTCCTGCTTTTTGATATGCGGTTGTTCCTCATCCCCCAAAACATGTTCAATGAAACCATAAACCCTGGGATTAGTATAAACTTCAATTACAGCTTCATATTCAGCATGTTCCCGGTCAAGATTCGGCATCCCCACCATCGCAACTAATTCCTCCTGCACATCAATCCCGAACTTTTTGTACTCATGCCGCAACACAAGTTTCCTCAACAGCTCCAAATGTGATTTGAGACCGTAGACGAACTCGCTCACATTACTTAAAAGAGGCTCGATAACATCAGGATAAGACGGACTAAATTTGGTCCATTCGCAAATGAGATTTGTGAAACTGGAAACCGCAGACTCGTACTGTTTTAAAATGCGCTTGCAATCCTCTGGACAAAAACTAGAGTCGGCTTTGATTAAATCCCTGATCGACTTATCCAGCGTCGCAATAATCCCGTCGACGTAGTGACAAGACAAAATCGTCGAAAAGCCGTGATTCACAACCTAAAAAATGACGTGACTTTTAACCCCACATGATTACTTCATTCACTCACCTTGAGGATCTCGTCGTATAAGACTTCTTTAGGACGAACCGCCACGTAACTCCCCAGATTCTCGTTTTTAGTCTTCAAAGTTTTAATCATTTCCATCACGGGCGCGTAATGCGAATGCAAAGTTTGGTCATTGCCACTATAAACTTCGTTCGCATTAAGAAAACTATCTCTTAAATCCTCGAAATTACTAATGTTTTCAACACAGTATCTCTTCTTTAAGGATTTCTTTGCTGACGGGTCTATTAAGGGTAATCGCGAGTTGAGAATGGCTTTGGCATAGCTCAACGCCATATGCATGTTATAAACGAGGGAAAGATTCTCGTGGAAGTCTCTGGGGGCGTCCAAATTAAAGTAATTTTCTGCACAGATACTCAAATGATGGAGGAAAGAGTTACTTAAGTCACTTGAGTCTTTCAGTTGCGACAAGTGTTGCAAGCAAACTTCTACTAATTGATTGAAATTGTCGCCTTGAATATTCAAACTTTCTGCTAAAGTTTTAACGAATGATTCGAAACTATTAGTAATATATTGGCGCTCGGTTTGTAGATAATCATAGTCACGATTTTGTAGCTGTTGCAAATTGCGCCACAATGTCAAATTCAATTGGCGATGCTGTTTCATCATTTCTCTGAAACTACCAAATTTAGTCACGCCATCATTGGTAACACTAATTAATAAAGAACTCAAATGCTGTGTCAATATTGGGCTAAAATTGGATAAAACGAGCTCTGTGTCACCTCGACGGTAACGAAGGCTTCCTGAATTTGTTAAGTACACAAAGAAGGCTCTTAATAGGTCGTGAGTAAGCCTGACATCTTTTGTTCGAATATAAAGTAGAATATTGGTGACTAAATCGATTGGCAGAGTCACGCATGTTTTAAATTCCTGAGTATTAACTTCAAAGTCGTTTGTAAGCATTGACTTCTTCAACAGAAGTTGAACCAAGTGTTCATTAATTGAGAGTAATTCGGTTTCGGGTTTATTCAAAGTGGATGCTCCCTGACAAGTTTCCATAAGTGACTTAAGTTCACTCGTTTTGGTTACTAAGTCACTGTTATCATTTACTTTCAACTCAATCATTTTATGTCGTATGTTTTTTTCGTGTGCACCACAAAGTCTTAGTGCGTTTTGATAATCCTTCGCAAAGTCTATTTCTGCAGAAATTACCTTTGGAGGAGGATTGTGATTGCACTTCTGAAAACTTCTGCTGACTTTATGTAAAAGAGAAAATTGTTTCTCAAGACTTTTGTCAATGTTGCTTATCACGTTTTCCAATTTAGGGGGTAACTGTGTGTTTAAAAGTAACTTCACTTTGTTCACTGAATACTTTAAAAACCAACGATAATGCACCTTTAAACTAGTAAGAACGAGGTAGCGCTGACGTCTGTCTGTCTTTTTTACACCGATTAAAGTATATCTGTACAAAATGAATCTCCAAGTCAATAACTCTAGTATTTTGGCTACATTTCCGTCGCTTATCTGTACGTTCTTTCTAACAACGTCGAGTAAAAAGTCATTATATTGTTCAATCAACTGTAAGAATTCGTCTATTAACACATCATCGAATAGATCATCAATAATATTTTTTTGTCTGTGCGACATATAATCAAGCAACGATATTTCCTCCGTCGCCGTCTTTCTAAGCCCCGCTTCTAGCTGTTCGTTTTTAAAATTCGCAACCATGTGAAGCCCCAAGATTAACCTGTTACTTGTAAACTGACTTTTCCCCAAATAATTAGTTTCAGGAATCCACCTCCAATCAATCGGAAAGTCTCTAAAGTTAACTGCAAACTTCTCAACAAATTTACAGAGAGCCTCCGACGTTGCCAGCAAATCTCCACAATCATCACCCAATAAATCAGCAAAATAACGAAATCGGATTTGCAAATCCTCGACGCTGCTAATGCCGTAGAAGTTAATCAACAAATATTTCATGTTATTATTAATACGACCCGAAAGTTTATACTGCGGCAGCAGCTGTCGCAAAGAAGTGGCTTGTTGCTTAATTTTCTCCAGATTGGAGGAGACGTGTAATTTATCTGTTTTTAAAGTCACGTCATCGCAGAACACCCCTGAGTCGTTGTTTATGACGAGGAGCTTCCCGATTTCTGTTCGAATGACAGTGTCGAAATCATTACAGCTGAATTCCATGAACGATCTGGTTTTGTAATAAACTTCCATGATGGTGTTGTAAAATGCGCGGCTGTCATCAACGCCGTGTTGGAGTTGTTGCGAAATTAAAACTGATGCGCGTAGTAATTCGTTCACGTTTGGTTTTTCGCTGAGAATCAAATCGGACACAAAATCATGCAAATGTAGCAAGGAATCGATGTGGTTAATATTTTTCAATCCCTTTCGGCTTATTAGGCTTTTCATGTCGAAATTGTTCCTGCGTCCATTTTCTTTTTCGTTGAGCATGTAAATTTCTACGCCTCTGTTCCTCATGGCCCTAAATAAATTTGGGGGAATTAATTTGCACGAATTTACAGTGAAATGTGTTTTACACTCATTATTTTCGAACAGAAGATTCAAATGAAATCGCGGATTTTGTTTTCGTTATTATTAGAGGTACGCGGAAGGCACATGCCGTTAAACAAAATTAAATAATGAGAAAATTCTGATCAGAAGTCAAAATATTATCTTTGTGTTCGTGAAAACAGCTTTAAAATGCACTACCAACAAAATGTGCAATTAATAAGGAAGTTTTTTATGTTTGTGTTATGTGGTCTAATAACTTTTAAACTGGTATTTTTAAGGGTATTTTTAAACTACAATTCTTAATATTTGAGGTGGCAGTTCTCTAAATATTTATTTAGTGGACTCTGACAACTGATACTTTGACTCTGGGCAGCGTTGCGTAGATTCTTTAGGAACTTTGTTTTGAAATAATAGTACAAATTTGTAAATAACTGAAACAAATAACGTTCAATTTTTCAAAGGATTTGAACACAATAAAATCTTTGTCACTCTTATAATAAAATGACATCCATTAACTTACACTGTAAATTCATTAAAAATTTATTGCGCTTTAATATAAAAACGCCAACAGTAAAGTTTATAATATAACCACTTTGATTCATAATGAACCATAAAGTTATAATTAAACGATTCTCGGAAGGTCCACGTTAAAAATAGCACATCGTTAAATAGCCCATATAGATTGTTCGTTTCAGGTTTCAAGTTAGCAAATTTCAGAGCTCTGATCTCTTTTTCCAAATTAAAATTTTTATTAGCCTCCTTAATAGCAGTCCAATGTTAGTTCCAATGGAAAGAAATAATTTACGCTAAATCCACGAATAAAAGCTGGATGTTAAACACAGGTCTTGTCAAATTTTTCTTACAAAAAATAGATTATTTAAACGACTTTCTTAGTTTATTTATTATTTATTACAAAGAATGAAATGCCAATCTTGTTTTCAACAGTTTTCTTAAAAAAATACTTTACTAAAAATATTTAGGAACATTAATATTTGTATGTTGTTATTCAAACAATAAAGCCAGTAAAGCCAGACTTGAAAATAATAACCGGCATTTAGTTAAGTACAATAAAATATATCCAGCTTTTCCAAAAAAATTATAAAATTTGATTTTGCGAATTTTATTTTTTTATGAGCACCCATAAAAAATAAAATAACATTAAAGAAGTATGTTTCAAATGAGTTCTTCTTTATCAAATTTAGTGACGACGTCATCAATATTTTTGCAATAAAATGTTGTGACAATTTGAATACTTGCAGTGAAACACTAATAAAAACGGTATTGTATTCCTAAGTTTTGGGGAAAATGGAGTAACCTGCTCCTGGGTTAATCAATATAAAATCAATAAATGACTCATTCATTTGTTTTTTTTTTTTGACCCAGGATAAGTAATCCTAAAAAATGTAATTATTGGCTGATAAATTGATTGATAAATCACAACTATAGACTCATCATGTTTTGCACATTTTCGATGGAATTAATTCTGTAAAACTTTGAGATCACGTCATCAATTTTGCTTACGATAACTTTAAAAGGTGTGCAAGAATTCAAAGCATTCGGTTTTGCAGTTCATGATTTAATCAATAAAATAAATTGACACATTTATTAATTTTTTTGAGTCACCGTGTATAAGCAATTCTAAAAAATATTAAAGGAATGATAAATCACACGTACAAACCTATCATATTTTGTATATCTTCGATAGGATATGGCAAAATTTTGAGTTGACGTCATCAATTTCTTGGAGGGGATAAACATATATTTTGACTAGAAATTTACCATGCTTACGATAACTTTAAAACGACTGCAAGATTTCAAAACATTCGGTTTTGCAGGTTTTAATTTAATAAATAAAATAAATCGACTTATTCATAATTTTTTTGAGTCACTCTGTATAAGTGATTCTGAAAAATATGAATGTAATGATAAATTACAAGTAGAGACTCATCATATCTATTCGGTAAAATTTTGAGATGACGTCATCAATTTTTTTGGAGGGGGTAAACAGATATATGTATTTTGATTAAAATTTACCATGCTTACGATAACTTTAAAGTGTCTGCAAGATTTCAAAGTATTCGGTTTTACAATTTCTGATTTAATGAATAAAATAAATTGACTCATTCATTAATTTTTTTGATCTACCCAGTTTAAGCAATTCTAAAAAGTATTGATGAAATGATGAATCACAAGTATAGACTAATCATATTTTGCCGAGTTTAGATAGGATTTACTTGGCAAAATTTCGAGATGACGTCTTGGAAGGGGATAAACGAGTAAATTTTGAATAACGATTTACCATCATTAACCTTAAAACGTTTGCAAGATTTCAGAGCATTCACTTTTGCAGTTTCAAAGTTAAATTGTAAAATGTTATACAATTCTGATTGATTTTACAAAAATCTGGATGTCTAGTGTGAAAATTTAACACGGATTCATACACCACAAGTACAAGAGTATCTTCTTTTATGTAATTCAAAAAATTATATTATTGCAAGTTTTGGAGATGACGTCATTGCATTGGTGGTGGGGATGATTAGCAATTTTTCGTGAGCGTTTTAGCATCTACATGATATTCCTAATCTACAAAATTTGACAACAATCGGTCTAATAGTTTCGGAAATACTGTCTAATAAAAATCCGGACAGACGGCAGACAGACAGACAGATAGATGGAAACGGGAGACCTATTTCTTAGTATTCTTCGGGTGATGAAAGGTCGAGAAACTATAAAACGTAAGGAGTCGGGCGATGGACTCGATTACAATACTTCCTTAGGTTACGGTGGAGAAGTAAAAAATCAATGCATTAAATGACCATGGAAGCAATATAACGAGGGAAAAAACAGTAATCCAAGGAATGTGTTTCAGCTCAGTTGTTCCACTCACAGGTATTGGAAAAAATAGAAGTTTGAAATTTAGAACGACCAATTGACAGAAAGAACTTTTTTCCGAAGTGACATCAACTTTTTATTTACAAATAGACGGCAGTGTGTTTAAGTGCGTTAGGTAGAATTTATTTTTGATTTTTTCATCAGTATAACAGTCTGATATGTAACTCATTTGGTTTAGTGTTTGAAAATGCTCTAAAGAATTTAAAATTGTGGTGGTTCAGTTTCATTTTCAGTATAATATCTCATTTACTTAAAAAGATAAAATTTCGGATTTTATATCTATAGTTGCCCCAACACATCTCCAAAACAAGTAGGTACATAGCAGAATTGCATTACTGTCGTTTTTTGCATTCACAAATGGAATAAAGTGTGTTTTCTAAGTGTTTCAAAAAATGTTTCTTTAATAAGGCCAAAGATCAGTAGTTTAGTAGTTAGTAGTTCCGTTCGTTCTCGTTGTTCCTTTTTATATTGTAAGCATTTGTTATATTATATTTTCTGTAATTGGGTTAAATACCTCAACTAAATTAATAATAATAATTATTATTACGATTAAGCCCCACCTATACCCGCCCCGATCTCAGTTGTGATGAATTTTTCATTTGTTGTCATACCTAGGGGTGGAACTTAATTCCAAAATCCCCACAAAAATGTACCATTTTTAATATGTCGTAAGTTTTCTGTCGTGAAAAAAAACCTACATATATTACAAAAAAGAGGCAAAATATAAGCCCCGCCCACCCGCCCCATCTCGTTTGTGACGATTTTTCTTATTCATCGTCAGTCGAGAGGCGGTACTTTATTGCAAAATCACGCTATATTTTTGGAATCAGCGCGTCGAACTCGATTTCCCTGAATTTTTTTAACAAATTTAATGCTGTCATCTTAAAATTTTGCTACATTATTATTTTTAGTTTTTATTCTTATGTAAATAGATTTTTGAAAAAAAAAAAAACAAAAAAACAAAATTGCACAGCCAAATTTTACAGTTGAACTCGGAACGTATAAAAAGCGATTGCTTTAAAATTCTGCGCAAGTTAGTGTTACTGTAAACGTAGTAAATCAGAATTCATCTGTTCATTCCAAAAATTTGATGACGTCGTGCCAAAATTTTGTTGTTTGGACCGTTGGACAACGTGTTTCTACACATTTTCTGTATTCATTCCTATTTTTGAACTGTTGAACAGGAAGTTTTAAAACAATCTTAAAAAATTAACAAATTAAGCAAATGGCCCAATTCATATATACTTTATATTATTTTCTTTAAATTCTGGGGACACAGGACTGTTGTTAAAATTACACTGAAAGTTCTTGTAGGGAAAATCTCGCTTGAAATATGCATGGTTCTTGATCTATATTTTAATTTAATTTTAAAATATTTATATTATATTATATATTATCAGAAAAAAATCTGTCAAATTTTATAATTTATTTAAGAAACTGAATCGATTGTACATATAATCCATTGTACTAGGAGGAAGTTCAGATTAAAAAACTTTCGATACTATAAAAAAAAACAAAGTCGCTAAAAATTAAAACATTTAATAAATCTTGAAAATGTTTTTCTGAAATTCAAAGCCTCGTTTAAATAAGTTATTTTATTGTACTCATCCATATTTTACAATTCGCAAGGATTTCGCTTTCCTGTATATGTTACTAAAGAGGGCGACAATTTTCGTAAAGCTAGTATAAAATTCACAGTTGAAAATATGTGGTAAAATAAATCACGTGGTGATTTGTACTAACTTTTGATGAGTTTTTAAGAATTTTTGTTTGGAATTCGCAACCTCTCTATTAATAATGAATTGCAAGTTAATTCATTTAAAGGAGATTTTAATACATGTCTGCAAAAACAACACTAACACTACCCTGAAAATATCGGGTGATTTTTTAAATTCTACTCTAGTTACCCATAGTGATGGGTAACGAGAGCAGAAATTTATAAAATAATCACCCGGTATATTTAAGTGGCCACGAGCTTTATCAATTTCACTTGACAATGCCTAATAATAGGAGATCATATTAATGACTGCTTTAGCAAAATAGGATTATTAACGTCTAGAAACTTGTGCAATGAAATACTTCACAGCGATTAAAATCACTGCAACATGTCTCTTTACTGAAGAGCAAACTATGATCAAGTTGGTGCAGCTTTTAATTACTTGGTTGGGGCTCTAGTTAGTATATCTGCATCTCGAGCATCTCACACTTGTTATTAAAGCCACAACTTGCAGTAATCCACGAACGTCTTATAGAGATTTTGAGGTTGCGGTGGCACTCTCTGGTTATTAATTACGAAATACGAAAATTAAATTTAGAAACCTTGTTCCAAACCGAATAAGCCATAAAATCGATAAAAAAACACAAACAGTTTTAACTGTTTTAATGGCTCTTTTCGCTAAACCGTGTTTTCATTGAACCCCTATTACGTAAGAGTAAAAATAGACACAAGCAACTTTCCCAAAAACATCTCTCACTCTGAAAGCTAATGCCGCGAATTGAACCGAATAAAAACTCACCTTGAGATCTCCCCGTTCTTAGGATCCATAGTCAAAAACAGTCTGAAGTCTGGATGCGGTATTATTTCGATCATTTGTCCCTTTTCGTTCACCCCTCTCTCGCTTACAGTTAAAACTCCGTTCGGTTCTAAAAGCGCATTAAGCCGGTCCAAAACGGCCGCGCTAGACAAGTTAACGTTATCGACAAGCAACCACGAACCATCTTGTAAACACTAAAATCAATTCAGTTAGACGTATGTTTAGTCCACTATATTATCGCCATACTTTTATGAGAACCGAATCCACCCATTCGAATTTTCCACCAGCAGTCAAGGACCCTTCATTTGTTACCGAAGTTTTTATTCTCTGGGCCTTCGTTCGTAAAACATGTACAGACTTTTTCCTGGCACAGCCCTCGCTTTCACACAGAGCGGCCCAAATCTTCTCCAGTTGGTCAAGTGTTTTCAGAAAGTATTTCATCTCCTCGTCCATTGTGTGTGATTCGGCCCCTAGAAATGTGGAAATGATTTGTTTCAATAACTGATACTTTAACATAATAGACAAATTTATATGGTGACAATAGTTATAATTGTTACTCGAGTGCAAGGAAGGGCTTATTTAATGTTTTTTCGACGTTTCAGAACCTCTAGAATATGAAAAAGTAGGTCCCCGTTTTTGACGATTTTATTACACAGATAATCTGGGAAACTGCTGTCCTGATTGATGGGAAATTGTAAATGTATTTTTGGAATATTGTGTAGATGATAAAACGCTAACCAAAATTTGCCTGCTCATGCGCACAAAGAATTTGTTAAGGTCATATCAAAATTTTGCTAAGTAAATTTTATGACATGTGAAAAATTTGTTTGGCTATACCAGTGCTCTACCCTTATTTTAACTGTATGCATGTAAATTCTGGGAAAAAAATTCAAAATTGTACAAAAACATTTACATTATATTGGGAAACTTTGAAATTGATTGCGCTGAAAATTTGCACGTACTTTCCAAAAATTTAACGACTTCATTTTAAACTTTATTTATGTTCACTTTTTTGAAATACATATTGATAAATTAGTTGGGGGTTGATTCATGAATTGTTGTATTTAGTCATATGTTTTTGTTTTTTTTTAAACAAATGTGTACAGGATGTTAAAAAAATGAATAAGTGACTTCAATCACTTTATTGAATAAAATAAAAATGGTTATCTGATTTTTTCAAAGTTTGTGCACTTTCTGGACGGGGTTTTTGTTCGTGACGGCAATCTCTCCAGACTCCAGTTCATTGAATTTATGCGATATAGTTTACAGTGTCGAGGAAATTCAATAAAGTGTGTGTAAGTGACAATGAAAGGACGATATTTTCCAACTAAGGATTGCAAAGTTACAGTTACTAGGACGTGTCAAACATGTTGACAATTTTATTACCACAAACTGACATTTGTTGAAATAGAGGTATTTAAGTTTAAGGGACTTTACAGTTTTGCACTACTAAAAACAGCGCAATTAATATTAACTCGAAGTTATGAAACGCGGTTTAAAAATGTTAATGTACAATGACATTCGATGGGAATTTTAAAATGAAATTTCATATGATGACAAATGACGCTTTCAAAGGTAGATTTTGCCCTTACAATTTAGACTTTTAAAAACTGTGTTTCAGTTTAACTCAAAATGATAGATTTTTCAGTTAAAACTGTGTATGCTTGAAGACATCCATAACATGCTACTCGAATGACATTTGAACCAAAGGTCCAAAGTAGTGTTAAATTAAGTTTATAAATTTCAGGCACTAGGTTCCAATAAGTCAGAATCTGGAAATCGCAATGACGATCATAAAACTTAATTACACATTTGAAATGTAGAGGGATCTAAGTTCAACAAATTTTTCAATTTTACACCTTTTAAAACACCCTATAATATTAAATCGTGCTTGAGACAACATAGAAGTTTTAAAATGAAGGAAAATTAATTTCAAATAATGATAAATTACACTTTAAAGGCGAATTTTATGTTTAGTATGGTTTCAAAAGCGACATTTCTATTTGAAACGATTCAAATATTTCAAACTCTGGAAGCGAGAGTGACGCTCTTAGAACTTAATTTTTCAGTTAAAATCGGTTAAAATCTATAGAGATCTCAGTTCGAGGAATTTTACAATTTTGTACTTTAAAAAATAGGGCATTTAACATTAACTGTAAGTCGTGAAAGTGACTTTCAAATGTAAATGTAAAATGATACTTTACAGAGGTTTTAAATTCAAGGAAAAATAATTTCAAGTAATGGCAGATCTGAAATGAGCATTCTTAGAGAATAAACAAATCATGAAATCCGTAACATGCTACTCGAATGACGTTTGAACAAAAATTTCAAAGGAGTCAAATTAATTTGAAGGTTTTGAAGTTACAGATACAAGATTCAAATATTTCAGAATTTAGAATTCGCAATGATGCTTATAAAACTTCAGTCCATTAGAGACAGAAAAAAGTCAAAAATTAAAGTTATACGGCAGAGCACACGATTTTTTTTTTATGTAGAATACTCTACATATATATTTCTACTTCTCGAGCGTAAGCTAACACGAAAATATAGGTCTCTTGTTTCCGTCTGTCTGGTCGCCGTCTGTGTCGATTTTTAGATTTGTATATTTTATATGTATATATAGTATGACTATATCATGTAGATGGTAAAACGCTAACCAAACTTTCTCTAATCATCCCCACCATTAATGTGATGACGTCACTTCTAAATTGTATATAGTAAATGGGTTTTAAATTGTAAAAAAAAACATAGTCTTACACGTGCAATTTATGAATCCGTGTTGAATTTTTACCCGAGACATTCCAATTTTTGTAAAAAAAATTGTATAATAACATTTTACAATTTAATTTTGAATCTGCAAAACCGAAAGCTTTGAGATCGTTATAAAATCTCATTATGAAAAAACTCACTTGAAACTACGTACAGCATGCTTCTTTATTTTATTAATAGGGGTTATGATAAAAAATATATAATTCGGAAAATTAAATTTAATAATTTTTCGAAGAAGCTGTATTTGCTGTTGTCCACGGCAGTTCTGTCTAAATAACTTTAGACTAACTTTTACGTATTCTCATCATCCTTTTCCTGGGCTTTATAGTTATAGATTTATATCTGAAATTCCACGTTATTCCAATTTTTGTTTTTTTTTTATAAAAAAATAAATTTTGAAATCAAATATCGATATTTCAGTCTTTCAAAATGGAACACCTGTATTTTATTACTGCGTCTAACTCTATTTTTTGTTCTCTTTATCTCAATGTATCGGTGTGTCTCTTTAAAAAAAATCTCAATAACTTTCAACTTTAAATATAGAAAGACAAAAGAAAAAGAACAAAAAACAGATTAAAATGCAATAAAAAATTTGGAAAAACTAAAGTATCGACATTTGAAAATAGTAATAATTAAAATTTTTCTATAAACATTATACCAGAATAAGCGCATTTTTTATTTATCTTTTCAAAAAATATTGTATCCAAGAATTTAAAAATAATCTTGTTAATCCTGTTGCCATTTTTTGTGAACTCTTGCATCGGTAAAAAATTTCAAGAAAATTGGAATAACTTGGGAATGATCTATCAGAATTTTGAAAATAAACTAGAGTTATAAAGCCTAAGAAGAGGTCAATCAGAATATATGTATAAAAATATATAAGGTATCCAATTTGAAAAAATTAAGTTGTGTTACGCCTTAAAGAAAAACACTCTGTATAGTTGAAAATAATTTCGGTATATGGTGCTCAAAGAACTCCCATCTGCATTAAAACAATTTAATTACGTCGTCTGAAAATTTTGCAAAATAAATAGGTACTATTTAAATTTTATGAAATTACATACTTCTACATCCGTTGTTTATGAAGTCGCCTTATTTTTTGTAAAGTTTGACGACGTATTCTCAAAATTTCTGTTGGCTAAATCCTATCTAAAATATATCATATTTTTTAGAACTGCTTATATAGGATGATTGAAAAAAAAAATGGTATGAAGCAATCAATGTATTTTACTGGTTCATTAAATCAAACGCAGCTTACTTAAATTTTCTAAAAATTTTAGGAGTACATTACATTGTATCCATCCAGTTATTGTTAAAAAATGATTACGTCATCTTCAAACAGACACATTTACTACCCTATTTTACTTGTAGATTAATAAGTTATATCTCTATTTATTTTAACTTATTTTTTAATTTATGTAAGAATCTATATTTGTCTGATTGTACTTCAGGCGCGTGGAAAGTTCTGTCTAAAAAAATTTAGTTCAATTTTTTCAAAATAATTACCTCTAACGAAATTATAATCACATATTTACTAGAATTCCTTTGCAAATCGACCATTACGTTTCTCACCTCTCTGATAGTTTACTTACTTTACTAATAAATACTGTATTTAAGGCAACTTTGTGGGCCAACGGGGACTAAAAGCTATTTCATTGTGAAATATATATGTAATTTGAGAAAAATTCAATATACAGTACTGTAATTCTCCAAAAGCCAGTTCAAACGCGCGTTAGCCCCTACTAACCAAAAATTAACAACTCACAAACATCTGAAGCCAGGTTTAGAAGTCACTATGAACTTTTTGTGACACTAGAGGAATTCTCTATGAACAATATAATAGTGTTTGGAATAATCGCCACTAAATAACATTTTGGAGGGGATGAATAAATAAAATTTAATTTCTATTGCAGTGATGGAGATAAACTCTAAATCTTGATAATCCAAACTTAATTTTCTTTGGTGAAACCCACATACGCAAATTTACGGGTGAATTATTAAACTACACATAAAGGTAATACCAGCACACAGACGACGAACAAACGGAAAAGTGAAGTCTACATTTTCGAGTCGCGTTACGCCACGAAAACATGAAATTGGACATGTTTTAAAGTGACTCTATTACAACGTACTTTCTTAAAATATCACTCGAAAAGTAAAAGAAAGCATCACACTTAAATGACGTTATGGAAGTTGACAAATAATAATTTTCCGTTGTTCACAAACAGCAGCGTTTTTCTCACGAGTTCTTGTCGAGGCGAATATGCAGAGGCATTTGTTCAACATGTGAACAACGCGATAATTGGATTTGAAATTCAATATTCACGGTGAATTTAACTCGTGTTCATAAATTTTAGAATTTATTGGTGCTACAAAAACGGAAAGTTATTAGGATTTGTTAATTTTAGACGAATAATAATCGTTCCGTGTGGTGCTGATATATTGCACTCTGAGAATTAATTAATATCTCTAATGACTCGGTCACAATATGCTTATTGGCGTAAGCTGTAGTACGTTCAGTTGTATAATTTATACATCGCATTATTACACCGGAAATTCCTAGACCTGCAACAGAGCGTGATGATGGATGCCTGCGATTAAACTCAGGTGCGAAATTAGAACTATCAAAGCGTAATCAATTACACAACGCCATCCAATCATAGGTCAATTGACAAAAAAATTGTCGCAATTTGTTGATTGATCATTGCACTTAAAACTAGGTTTTGGTTTCGTTATATACGATTGCCATACGTGACATATATACTGCTTCACACCTAAGCTAAAATTTATCGCCCGGAACGGATTCCGATTAATGTAAATTATATCGAACGAAGGCAGTTTTAGAAGCAACATTCAGAGGGAGTAAGTTTGGAAAACGATATTTTGTTCTTAAGGTTGGATATGTGTTCGAATAGTAGAATCGATAGAGGAAACCGTAATAAGAAGTGCAGTGATAATAAATGTAGACGATATGTTACGCTACATGAGTCGACGTTTCAAATAATTTCAGCTGAAAACTTTTATAATCATATATCAACGGCGGAGAACAAACTCATATCGCGTAACCCATAAAATATTTCGTTCTTCTTTAAGAGGAAAATGACACTAGGAGTAAATTTTTAAGTATTTAATACAATGTGAAATATTGTTGTTATAATACAAACCAAATCGAATCAATGAAGAATACAAATGTAAACGAGGCGTAGAAACAATATTATGTGCACACGTGCGCTTCTCGTAAAATATGTGTGTGTAGAATAAAAGTTTTATAATTTAGGTAAATTTTAGTCACACATTTTTTTTTTCGAAACAGAACCGCTTACGAAGGTCGAATGAATAGACATAACTAGAACAATTTAACTAAGAAGCCTTCGTTTGATGGCAGATCGTATTTACAGTGTAATCAAGCGACACCCTGCAATTATTTAGGAACAAGAGTATCGACGTTACCTGACGCTACCAGTTGATATACTGTTCTTAGTGGTGTATTATGAGAAGCACTAAGGGAATATAGGAGAGTTTATATATTATAGTATTGCTATGACTAGATTATATGTGCGGGTATAAAAGATGTGATGAACAGAATATGAGTAACACTATTTTTATTTAATTTCAAATTTTCTTTTTATTTTTACTTTTTTTCAACTATACCGCCGAATAACTAACATTTTGTTTAAAATCTGTGGTTCGCTATCTAGTATACATCAGTTCTATATATTTTTATATATTCTCATTAGCCTTTTTTTAGGTTTGATGTTTTTGTTTATTTTTAAAACTCCGATGCAACGTTGCAAGTTATTCTCCTTTTCCTGATTTTTTTTTGGCAATGGAACACTTCACAAAAAAAAAAAAACGTAATAGGGCCATTTTTAAAGCCTGTTAGGTATAATATTTTGTGAAACGATAAATTAAGCTACATGCTTTCTTGTGTGCTATCACTTAATTTATATATTAATATACAGAGTGTTCACAAGAAAATCGAAAAAATTTTACTTTTGAGATATCGATATTTCCGCTTTTTCAAACAGAACACCTGGATTTTATTATTGCATCTGAACTTATTTTTTGTTCTTATTCATCTAATATGTAAAAAAGTAAAAAATCGTAGTAATTTTCAGTTTTAAATGCAAGCAATGCAATAACAAAAAAGAAAAAGAACAAGAATCCAAGAAGATGCAGTAATAAAATAAATAGGATGTTCTATTTGAAAAAACTAAATCGATATTTGAAAATTGTGAAAAGTAAAATATTTTATAAACACCCTGTATAAGAAAATTTAATTTCATTTAAACTACTAGAGAGCGCGTACCTTTATTGATCTCTCCATAAAATATTGTAACGTAGATTTTAAAAATAACCCTACTACGATTTTTTTGTCAACCTTTCCATTGCTAAAAAATTTCAAGAAAAATGGAATAACATAGCAACGTGGCATCGGTGATTGTAAAGCCTAAGAGGAGCTCGTTCAAAATATGTAAAAATATATAGCGTATTTCACTTAATAATTCTAAATTTTGTTACGCCTTAAAAACACAACATTCTGTATGATTAAATATTATTTTAGAGTGGTTAAAAAAACCCTACAACTTTGTTTTTTGACGTTCTTTTCTATTTCTAATAAATGTTAAAGACTTGTTTTTGTTTTAACAACTGTTTTGCACATTGTATTGCTTATTACGAACATGAACTTAATTTTTAGCTACCACGTAAGGTTTACTTGGAAAAAATACAAACCTAAACTAAAATTTAAGAAATACCGCATATCAAAGAAGAATTTGGTATTTATTTTGTATATACTTATACATGCATTAAAAATCACTGTAAAATCGTAGCTTTTCCTCAAAAGTTATGTTTAATGTTTTTCTCCTAAAATTTCTGCGGCGCTCATCATTATGATTAGACTTTGATACTATTTCTTCCTTTTTGACTTGCCCGATTATCGGACGATCATTACGTAATGTATCTCAAATATTTTATTCCATTTGAAACCGCTGAAAACCTAATATCCTATTCTTTTCGTTTCAATTTTATTCTCAAAAAACTGAAAAAACCGAAAATCTATCAGTTCATTTTAACACAATTTTTCATCGCACCCTGCTCTTGAAATTTTGGGAAATTTAGATAACCATTTTTATTTAATAAAAAAAAATTAAAAAAGTCGCTTATTCATTTTTTTGAATATTTTGTATAAACAGTTCCAGGAAAAAAACATCTATCTAAACAGCAAAAATAAAATTTAATCGTCATGAATCAACGTAAATAATTTATGACAATTTCAAAACAGTTGTTTTCGTGGGTTCTGAGACACTGTAAAGTTTGATTTTACAAATTGGATATTTTTTATAACTGGCATACTATTCATAAATAAATTTTGAGATCACGCCATTAAATTTGTGGAGACGATTGAGTATTCTTTGCACGTTCTGGCGTTATTAGATTAACTCTCGCCGCTTTCTTTTGTGTTTTCAAGCCTTTTCTGTATCTAAAGAGCTCGAAAACGCCAAGAAAACATTCAAATATCAGCTGGAAACCATTTTTCTGTTGAAAATGAGTTCTGAGCTATATTTCGACTTGTTTGGCTATTTTCAACAACTTGGCGCACTGGAGATATGCAAGATTGACTTATTTTGTGAGTTTTGACGTTTGCAGACCTAAGAAATCCCGTCTTCATGGTTAAACTGTAGGATTTTTTTGCAGTTTTGTTTTTTTGATCTTCATGTGAAGGTAAAATATGGGTGGATTATTAAGTCCTAGGTATCTGCACATTATTTTGCACATTAATAAGATTAATTTATTAATTTAACAAAATTCTGAGACGACGTTATACAATTTTTAGAAAGGATAAGCAAATGAGTTCTGATTAGTGGTTTACCATAATCACCATCAACTAAAATTTAAAAAAATTTTTACACATATTACTTAGCAAAATTTTGATATAACGTCAAAAATTTTTTTGTAGGATGTTCAGACAAATTTTGGGCAGCGTTTTATCGTCTATACGACATGCCTCAAACATCTACTAGTTTCGGAGATTAGTTTACTAATAAAAAGGTCAACAGATGACACAGGACAAACATGGAAACTAAATAATACATTAAGTTGACGTACAATAAAAAAATCAGAAAAAAAAGTCTTAGGTTGTCTGCTAATTGTCATCAAAGTTGACATTTGAATTTTAAAATTCCATAGACAAAAAATTATCTCTTCGTCAACAGTTGGGGTAATCATTGGTGTATCAATATTTTCAAGCATAGTTGTATAGTTAATATCTAATCTCGCGATATGTGTTGTACAAAGGATTGCATCAGACCTGTTGAACACGGGACTAATTAGTAATAAAATATTAAAACGAAATTTTCATACTCAAAACTTGCACTAAAAATATGGTTCGTGTGTGCTTTAAATTAAAGCACCAATTAAATTCAGTGCTGAAGTTTTACGGAACAAAAGTTTCATATAATAGTGGAGTTATTTTGTTGCAGTTTAGTGTTTCAATCTATTCATATTGTGTAGTAATTAATATTAAATTATTATAAAATATTAAGTACGAAAATTACATTGTTGTTGACAAAAATGAAGTGCAACTGTTAGCGCAGCCTGAAATACAACATATACAAGGTGTTTACTAAACATGCGCAAAAAATTCAGAGGGTTATTCCTTGTACTATTTTATGATTTTTATTTGCGGAGCAATTTGAAAACATTGGTGTACACTACTCCAGCAGAAAATGAAGAAGATTGTGATGCAATAATCTTAAAATAACCTAAGGAATAACCCCTTGAATTTTTGCCGCATGTTTAGTAAACAGCCTGTATAATACACCACACAGTAAAAATAGAAGTACAAGAAACAACACGAATATGGATTATCAAGTGGATAAACCGAAGGCCTGAAGGGAAATAAATTTTGCACATGTTGAATAACGAACGACTAGCGGAAAATCCTTCGTCCGCTTACCAAATAAGATTGTTCGCAATGAAATAAAACTAGTTCAACGTTCTAGTTCTTGTATACAAGAACATTAAATTTGCTTACATACAATTTTAGTATGAAAATTAGTCCTGCGTTGAAATGATTATCACAAGTTCCAAATACTACAATGATAATGAGGGATTTAGACTCGAACATATACGCTGTTTTTTTTTTACGTAAATACGCATGTGATGAAATCTAAGGTAATTCCTTTGGACATAACATTTTAATTCAACCATTAATACTTTATTAAATAAGTAGTTATATCTGAACTTTTTTTTACATATACATATGTCATATGTCAACACAGTCTTGTCTTCACCAAAGTACGAAAAGAAAATAAATCACACCCATTTTAAACAGTCCTCCAGACACCTTCAAACCTCGCCTTAAAACCAAAAGAAAACTAAATCCAATTGGCAGCACCCGGAGTTTCAACTTTAATGAAAAAACGTTGATATTAAAATTCTCTGTCAGTGTGGCCAAGCTGATTTATAGTATCGCAATCTCGCAGTTTTGCGGTTGGAATTTTAAGGATCGTGAAAAAGGAAAAACTGCCATTTCTGGTGGCATTATGTTGTTGTAAAAGAAGAAAAGTTTTCTTACCAGTATCCACGTTCGAGTAACCCTTCCAAAGACGGAGTAATTCGGTACAGGGTCGACCTTTTACGAGCTGAATCCGCACGCTTTCCAACAGAAGCTGCTCTGTTTCCCTCACGATCTCCTCTAAATGTCGAGTATAATCAGTCTAAAAAGAAGAGTTTAAAGTTAGAGTCAAATAGATCGTAAAGGAATGCGAATAATGGTGGAGGCGCCGGGAGAATTATGCATCAAATGACCATAAAGCAATTCGTGAACTGGCCTTATCTTTAAATTAACACAAACATAATTTACGAGGAAAGACAACCAATTCGTGTATCATACATGATCCGTTAATCTAAATAGGGCGGTAAGATGTTATCGTAGCCACGATAATTTTACATTAGTAAATAGCACAATGAAAGTTGGAATTTATTACGTTCGTATTTAAATTATTTCCACTGTTAATGAATAGTCACCACATTATTTACATTACAGATCGCTGAAAAGCTGCGTTCCATGTATCTGCAACTGTTATTTCAGGTGTGAACCGCGATAGTAATATAATTTTAGTGACGAATTTATGGGCCGTAGCTCCTGTTAAACCAATAACGTCTCTCTTGTTAAAATTAATAAGCCCAAAACATCGACATACACCAATAAAATCCACCAAGTACAGTTTTTACTACCCTCATAATCGTAACTCTGACATACTGTAGCATAATATATGCTACTACGAACAGCCACCAATCGAGTCGTGTAACATAATCGAAAATGAAAATTTGAACACCATTAAAATCCTACTTGCTCTTTAAAGGCCACGGTTATATACACATTGTGTCTCCAGCAATGAAGCGTCGAGTTGTTGTAAAAAGGCCTATCAATACATTTCATCTTTTACACGAATCGGCTCAAATCGCTGGGATACGCCAGCGCGAAAAGGGGTTTATAAGCTTATAAATGGATAAGAAGGTGATGTGTGACGTGTTCGTCGGATCATTTTCTCCTTTTCGATGGGGTCTAAATGGTCGAGGCCGTCATCAAAACTTCAAATACGTATCACGAAATCCCACACACCTATCGAGTGGTCAGTTAAGCGAAGAGATGTTATAAAAACAAGGAAGTGAAAAGTATTAAATCGCATTCTTGAGAATAAATAGTGATTTATAGACCATATTGAGATACTTCTGAAAAATAAAGCAAGTTTTGCTGTAAGTATTAATGGTTTACTCGCGTCCGCACTTCAATAAGCGTGGACGATAAGTAAACTCGAGTCTTGAAGATTTATTATTATAAAAAGAACGAGCTCGGTACGTGGTTCTAGCAAAACATGATCATCCAGAAACTCAAACTGTCACATCACTTATTCTTGTTTTGTCATAAATCTTCCAGAAACTCTTTGAGTTTACCTAGATATCGTGTTCCTAAGGTGTACGTGATTCGTAAAATATGAATAAAATTATTTACGACTCTACATTAATGTTAAAAATTCTGTGGTCTTCCATCTGTCGGATTACAAAAAAAGTTAAATCTACTGCTATAATTAACTAATCAGTGATCCGATTAAATGATTCTTAATAAAAAAATATATACTCAGGCAGTATTTGTTTGATTTTTGTCCTATGTTCTCGTTTTATGTGTTCTAAAAAAAAAAACATTGCTTATTTCTGTTTAATTGCTGTTAAATATTGAATAACGTTTTGATTTTATGACAGTCATAATCCCCTTCGGTGTAATCTACTTAAGAACAGAAAACCGTATCGCAGATTTACACATGATCCAGATGACAACCTTAAATAATAATGCTACTAAAATAAACTAACTGCCAATGAGAAACTGACATCAATAGACTGCAGTGTCGCCATTTCGTGACAAATGTCACTCATGTCATCTAAAAAGTAACATCAATAGTCATTTCATTTCACACTTAACATCTAAGACCCGGTTTACAGAAGGAGAATTAAAGTTAATTCCCGATTAACTTTCATCGAGGTCCGTTGCTAGGCAATGTGCATATTTTAACCAATCACGGGCTCATATTCTACATTTTAATCCTCCGTTAAACTAATCCAGGATTAAATATTTAATTCGCTTTCTATAAAATGGCTGACTGACTTCTCTATTGTCTCAAATAAACAAATTTTCAACGTTTCTGTGAATATATAAACAATTGACTATACAGGGTGTTATTGAAAGCTACGTACAACAAAATGGACAGTTCTTCGCGAAGTCCAAGAAGTCTAAAAAACTTATTTTGTGTTATCAAAATTATAAGAGGAAAATTAACCTTTATCCGACCTTTTTAGACGCTACTGAAGGATAAATAGGTAAAATTAATTTATTTTAGTAAATCCTAGCAACTGCAACAATAAAACTTTGCTTAAGACTAAATGTTGCTGTAGAAACGATCTTTTTATCAAAGGCATACAACGAATTTGGACATAAATTTTAATAATTTTTATCTGTAAAAGGAGAACACTTTTACCTGAACTTTTTTTAACTTTTAGCACCCATACTTCGAGACCAATTCCCGATTTTATTTTGTACGTACCTTTCAATAACACACTGTATAAAGACTAATTTTATTTCTGTTCAGTATAAGATCATTCATTTAATTCTGACCTGATAAAATCAACCACTGAAAAGGAGGCAGGGGTGGTGGGCGGTGCTAATTATGTTCTTCTGTCGAGTGGGAGTGGAAATTAATAACAGTATCTAGGATGTGAAAAAAGTAAAAAAAAAGCGCAAATCGTAACCTTTTTGTTATAATATTTGCTATAAAATTTATTTCTTATTGCATGCACCTGAGCTGACTTGGCCTAACGTGAACTGACCTGTTCTGACTTCTCAATTGTCTCAAATTAACAAATTTGAAACATTTCTGTGAATATATAAAAACCACAAAGTACATTCTTAAAATAACTGTATTTTGTGAAAACAAAAAAAAATAAAAAATAAATAATTTTCTTTTTTATCTTCAAAAATTGTATACCTAGCGATTTTGACGGAACTGTAATGAAGCCGGAAATGACTTCTGGATATCGAAATGTACTAGAAAATGTCTTTCGCTAATTTTCGAAAATAGTTGAAAAATGATCGAATATGTCAAAAGTGCCAAATCAGTACTAGCCCCACCCACCCACCCTTTATTTTATTAGAAGGTATGTGATTTGCCAAAATCAGTCTTTTTTTAACATGTACTAGCCCCGCCCACCCGCCCTGACTTTTTTGGAGGGTATATCATTTGCCAAAATCTGTCTTGCCTGTTTTTGTGATTTAGGTTATGCATGATTAGATTTGTATATAAGAACATTTTCTAAGTACTCCTGACATTTCTGCAAAGTGGCCCCCACTAGTGAGGGGAGGTGTAACATTTGTTTTCCTTTTTTATGATAGAATGATATTAATATAGATGTATTATGCCGCGTGATCAGAAATGACTGAGTCTGTTTAGGGCTTTTTAAACAAAAATGTGAATTTTTCTTGCGTTTATGTTGGCATCACGGAAGCAATAATTGTGTGACAGGTATATCGATCGTGATATGCAATAAATTTAGGTTATATTTTGGAAACATTTTGCAATTAAAAATATCAACAATCTGTCAATCTTGACAGCTGACAACAGGAAGTTGGAGAAAACACCATGATACCAATTTCAACTAAAAATACAGGATTACCAAAAGACTAAGTCATTACTGGTCACGCGGTAGATCAAAGTGGAGCTTTTTTCATGTTCTAAGCCCTCGAAAACTGCCAAAAAATGTGATACAAAGATATCGTAAAAAAGCAGCATTGTTTTCTGTTTTTTTTCTCTTTTTTTGTGTGTTAAAAATATAATCGCTTGAAAAACCTCACACTAACAAAGTAATGTAGGTTCTAAAGTCTAGCAGTATAATTTTTTTAAATAATAATATCAAAATATACCATATTAATTCAAAATAAAGAACAATTATTAAAAAAAAAAATGGGTTTGAATTCAACACGGTTTGAGTTGTTATTTCAGGGTCTTGCCGCTAGGGGCGCAACTATATTTAAACTTGTGAATGCTATGTGTCGATTATTATATTAGAAATTGGTAGATATGGAGTTATATAATTGTTAATATTTTTAATTTATGGTAGATTAAGAATGTTCGTTCTATTCCACTATTACAGATTATCAAAACTCTTCAATATCAACTTAGATGGTTTTTTGACCCATGTCCTGTAATTTCGCCTTTACTCATCTAAGCTCAGGTCTAATTTAGGAAGAACTGCTAGTTGGACTTAGGGCAACATATGGCGCCTAATTCAAACGAAATTTCAAAGCCAACTTGCTGTATGATTTTTTATAATCACCTTGTGTAAAAACCCACAACGTAAAAACATACATTTAGAGGTCTATTTTGTTTGTTCACAATATGTGTATAAAAGTCTTCATAACTGAAAGAAGTGCATTGAGTATTGGGCCTTAAGGTAACAGACTTGCGAATAAATATGCAAAAATAAAGCAAGAAGAATTATATTTAAATTTATGTTCAATATATTTTTTTTTTAATGCGACATAGATACTTTCAGACTTGTAAAAAATTTAATATATCGGTGACCTTTTTAGTTGCGTTCACGATGCAGAAATTCGCTTTATTTGAAACATAAAAAACAGAAGCCCACGGCTACAAGAAAAAACACATTTTATTTTGATTGAAAGCACTTACATAACCTCGAAAACGAACAGATGTGACAGTACGACTTTGCCAACTCTAATAAAAAATAATAATAATAATTTCATGGCTACCTAGACCACGTTTTTTTCGATCAAATGGTACTATGTAAGAATTATGATTCTCTGTTTACTACCTTTTTAAATTACTTGACTGCACGGTACATTTACAATGTTGCCCTAAATACTGTACATCAACATCCAAGTTAATAAAAAAAATCAACTACCACACTTGATAGACCTCGTAACATGAAAGACCTAATGAAAACTTGTTGACGCGTAAGGAATTGGTCAAACCACCCTGAAAAGAATATAATTAAATAGCTTTGTCGCCTCTATAAATGTACGAATTTTGTGATGAACGCGCTACTTCTTAGAAAAAAAAAAAAAAAAAGGACTGGTGCCGTAATATCTTTGCCGGGACGAACCGGTCGCACGTAAATTTTATTGTTGTGGTGAATTTTTGAACAT